ACTTTCCTAACAATGTTAAACAATAACAGTGACAACAGATATCAATTACTCATTTTCACTTTTACACAACTGTATTTTTAAAATCTGATTTGCTGGATCATTTTGAACTGAAATTCTGTTTAAGGAAGATTATAACACTGCAGTTTTGCTAATTGCATCAACATTTGTCAATATTAATTTTTGGCATAAAATCTGATATTTAAATTAATGTTGGCTAAAAATAATTATATATTTTTATCCCCTACTCACCCTAACATTTTTTCTAGTTTGAAATGCAACTGAGTGTCTATATTAATATATGTATTATTTTTGAAGCTAAAATATATGTTATGAAACTTAAATATTATAATAGAGTTGATTCTTTTCCCCAATTGTGAAAATTTATTGTCTTATTGGTAGAAGCAAGTCTTAATCCTGTTAGGAAAAATATTTGTAGTGTCTTGATTTGAAAGAAATACATCCATAGTACTGAATGTTTATTATATTACACATCTCACTGGAATATTAAAGGCATTTTCAATTTAAAAGAAAAAAATGTATAATACATCAATTTCCCAGAATGCTCTCCTTAATTTTGCTTTCATTTTGACTCTTTAAACTTTTAAAGAGATCAAAATATATACCATGCTAAAATTATAGGGCCTAATTCATGAGACAGACTTCTCTTCATATTTCTATCACCAAGATTAACAGTTTGCTGGTTTATGTTAAAGCTTCATTCCTCATTCCCAAGTGCCAGACACCACAGTATTTGCAAAGCTTATGGGAAACCAAGACTAGGAATCCAAGCACATAGCTGCTGGTATTTTTGAATAAAGCAGATCATCATCTCACTCAAAATGAACAGTTATCCTTAATAACAGAAATATAATGAGAATTTAACATTCTTTTCAAATTTCTCTTGTATGTAGGACATAATTTCAATTTTTTAGTTATGAATTATCTACATTATCCCATGTGAGACTTCAGATAAATAGAAAATATCTTCTTCTATAACTTATGTTCAACTCTAGCATATTTTATCAAAAGTAAACTCAACAATTACTGAGAACCTATCAGATGCTCTCAAGCAGCTTGTAGAAGAGAAACAAGAGGTTATGCACATAAAATAAGGCAAATCATGGAAATCCATCCAAGTTTCAGTGTTGATAATTCATTGGAGGGGTGGAGATGCCACAGAAAAAAGTGGTATTTGAGATATATTTTAAAGGATAAAACTTAAAGGAATTCATCAGATGGATGGAAGAATGCAAACAAGCTAAGAGATTAAAACAGTGCCATGTTGTTTTAATACGGGTTGCTCCCAAGTACCCTGCACTCCCATCTTCTAATCCTCATTTTGTCTGTAATCTCTTTCTGCCCCTTTAACCTATAAGCTTCATGAAAGTAAAGACTGAGTCTGTCTTATTCATGCTGTTTTTAGTATGTATCACACTGCATGGTACATGGTAGTTGCAAAATAAATGTTAATTAAATGAATGAATGGACAAATAAACGAGCAAATGAAAGTAACATTAAACCAGAAGTAGTCTGTATCCTTGATTTGTTATATACAAGGGAGAAAGAAAGTAAAGTGCTGAGAGATAAGAAAAGGAAGGCTGGCTCTGTGACAAATTCTGCTGTTGATATTAATTTTTTTTTTTTACAGATTCAATGGAAAGTCATGAAAATATCTTGTCTATACATTGATTTATCAGCAATAGTTGTATGATTAGTATTCTATGCACACCTTATCCATTGATATAGCTAATACAGATGCACCTTTATTTTCCAGAACATTGGCTTTAACACATTTTTTAAGCAGCAGAATACTTTTTTTCAAAGAGGATCTTATCATAAAGTACAATATAAAGAAAAGTGAGACCTGCTCTGTTGAAGTAGAGGCAGGTGGCTGAAGCAGGCAAAAACTTCTTCCTGCTCAACCCAGGCTGCCTGTAAGGGACAATATCAAAAGCCACTGTCCCTGAAGAGGCCAGTATCTAAAGATAACTCCTTAAATAGAAGATTCTTTAACCACTTATGTCATAAATCTGTAACAGTAACAGATTCTTTTACTTGATGGTTAAATATAGAAATAGCTATAAAATCTGCCATCTATCTCTCCTTCCATTAAGAGATTAAAACTTTTCCCTTTTCTCTGAGGACTAATGTTAGAAAGCATTGTAAATAATTATTAGCATTTAAAAAGCATTTTATTCCAAAAAGTAGGTTATATCAACTGAAAGAAAATCTTGCTTGTGTGACACAGTAAGCACCAGACAAAGGCAGAAGACTTAGGGACTAGTTTCAGCACTCCTCTTAACTGGCTTAATTAGCATATAGTATATATAAAGGAGTTACATAAAAAGGGGGAACATGATCATGATTTCTACTATCAAATATTTTGCTTAATATCACAGTCATAAACACACACACACACACACACACACACATACACACACACACAGAGAGAGAGAGAGAGAGAGAGAGAGAGAGAGAGAGAGAGAGAGAGAGAGAGAGGGGGGACATCCATCACTGACCCTTATTGGGACCAGTATAGTTAAGGGGTAGTTAACTACCTTGGTTAAGCCATTTAATTAACATTCTCTAATACCTCACTTACCTTGTTAATGAAATGAAGTGGCTGGAATTACTACTAGATTTACTACTAGATTTCAAACGTTTCTGGTCACAACTCACAGTAGAAAATACATTTTAAACATTGACTAAGTACACAAATATGCATATAAAATTTTAAAATTTCATGAAATAATGCTTGCCTTTATACTATGCTTTGCAGCCTACTATGTTCTATTCCTTCTTATTGCATCTTATTAATAAAATACTGGTCACGACCCACTAAATTGGTTATCTCTACCATGATTGTGACCCATACTTTGGAAAACTAAATTGATCATCTCTATGACCCTTTTGGGTCTAAAATTATGAAATTCTAGCATCAAGATTTGTGACTGACATCACAGAAATCTCCAGACTGTGAAGTATATGGTAGATGCTCAATTATCATTTAATTGTCTTTTACTGTGTCAAGGAAATTATTAGAATATTTAAGTTTACCCAAGTAATTTTGGATTTTTTATTTTTTTATAATGTTTTGGGTTTTGAGTTTTTTATTTTTTTTGTTTTTTTGTTTTGTTTTGTTTTGACACAGGGTCTCACTCTGTTTCCCAGGTTGGAGTGCGGTGGGGCTATCATAGCTCACTACAGCCCTGACCTCTTGGGCTTAAGCAGTTCTTCCACCTCAGTCTCCTGAGTAGCTGGAACCACAGGCACACAGCACCATGCCCAGCTAATTTTTGTATTTTTTTGTAAAGATGGGTCTCACTATGTTGCCCAGGTTAGTTTCAAACTCCTGGGTTCAAGTAATCCTCCCATCTCAGCCTCCTAAAGTGCTGAGATTTTAGGCATGAGCCACTGTGTTCAGCCTACTTAAAGTATTTAAGGTGCCAATTCCTTCAAGAAGTCTTCCCTGATTCCTCTGAATTCCTAGAGTACATATTTGTGCCTTTCTTATGTCATATTAAAAGATGATACACATAAATCATATAGTAAATGCTCAACAAAAAACATAAATTGAGCAATAGATGCTGCTGTAAGTATCCAACCTACAGTAATCTATTTCTTCCTAATACTCTATGGTTAAAATATAGATGGGGAAACTGAGTCTTAGGAAGGTCATTGAAGCAAATACTGAGTGACAGAGGCAGGTACTCTGAATCCAAGACCAGTTACCTACCCATTAACTACACTGATCCCTGTAAGAATTAGTGATAGACAACCACCTTCTAATTATATTACAGTGTATGTATGCATATACACACAAACATATATCTGATCTTACTGTTTAAACAGGCAAAATATTTAATAGTAGAGATCATGTTCTCCTTTTCTATGTAACTGCTATATCACATTCTATATGCTTAGAATAACAATTAAATAAATGAAATACCATGTGTGCATGTGTCTCTGTGTCTATTACATAAACACAAAATTTCATAGGTAGACTTGGATTGTTTTCATTTCATACTTATTCTAACAGAACCCAAAAGTATAATATTTGAAGACTAACTCCCTCTTAATATGCACAAATAAGATGTCCATAGGACTACCTGAAATATTTATTATGATTCTTCCATACTGTGTTAGGTCTAATAACAAGTGAGACTTGCTGTACCTGTCCTGGAGCTAAATAAGTTGTAGTTTCATAAGTGTTTACCTTTATTCAGTCATGTAAATAGTCAAAATGTGATGGGCTACACGAATTTAAAGCATGACTAATAACCCCAATTTACTCAAAACACAAGTTTTGTGTTTTTTGTTTTGATAAATGTGACATCTACAGAAGGGTTGTATTGAAAAGTCATTTGTCATGTTTGTAATCTCTCTACTTTAGGTGGCAGATAATAACCAGGTACATAAAATCTATACTCCCCTCTCTGCCACTTCTATAGGGTAAGCTGAGAGAGGAATACATAGACAACTGAACTCTGTTGTGTTAAAATACTATTGTCATATATCAAGTGGCTCTTTTAAATGCAGAATTAGAGATATAATGAGAACTGAAGAATGGGAAACAACAGACATAAATTAAAACAGTTAAATTAGAGGAAGCATCAGAAATGAATCTTAAGACAAAGAAAACCTCCTAACCCTCTGGGAGTTTTATGATCTTTAAAATTCTCATCTGATTAATTATCATTAAATAATGAAAAATGTTAACCAAATCACCGTTTAACATGAGTCTAGGCCAGGTGCTTTAGGAGGTCAAGGAAGGCAGTTTGCTTAAGCCCAGGAGTTTGAGACCAGCCTAAGAAACATAGCAAAACCCTATCTCTACAAAAAATACAAAATTAGCCAGGCGTAGAACTATGCACCTGTAGTCTCTCACCTACTTGGTAGGCTGAGGTGGGATGATCGCTTGAAACAATTTATACAGTTTTGGGTTAATTGTGCCCTCACCAGGCAGTTTTGTAATGTATCTTTGTTATTCAACTACATACCAGGAGTACCAAACTGGATGCAATCTTCCAGAGCCATGACATAGCCAGGATCACTAAGTTTAATAACATGAAGACTATTGGCTTTTTCCATGTTCTTGATCCATTTGTTAGCCTGACCTTGAGGATCTATCATCAGAGGCCACCTTCTTGCATTCCTGAAAAAAAGGAGAAATATGATGCTGGTCAAGCCATGATTTGTTTCTACATTATTTAATCATGTTCACATCACATGTCACTTTCTAAAAGTTTTCCCTTTATAGTAATATTTGACCTTTTTAACTTATAAGAAACTATGTTCTTAAAACAGAGACATGTACATTGAGTGGGCTATCTGAATGGCAACTACAGAAGTCATCCTGCAAAGTTAACACAAGTTCTTACACTTTTTTGAAAATTACCATTTCTAAATGTTAAACTACACTTTTGAAAATATTTGCCGCTCTTGCTAATTATGTCACAATGACACCCATCAAGAGGACTGTGTTGGAAATAAGGAAATTCCAGTTCTTCACTAAGCCCTCCCATTAATTAATCATGTGACCTTGAGTAAGACACTTTCCTTCCACAGTTTCTACCTGTTATCATTTGTACAATGGGGAAAGAGGTTGGGAATATCACAGCTCCAAAATCTAGACCATTAAAGAAATAATGGCCTAACAAAAAGGTAAAAAGCATAATTTTATATCATCTAAACTTCATAATATCCAGGGACACTTAAGTGTTAACACAATGGTGACCCAATCTTTGTTTCCAACACTTGTGTATTTAGTGTCATATATGCAGTTCATTACATATTTGCTTTATGATAAGAACAAGAGCAATACTGCAGGAAGAATCCAGTTTATTTTCTAGGGTGTAGATGAGTTATGGAAGAGCTCATCTGTATCTGCAATTACCATATGTCATCCAACCACATAGCTTTCTGTCTTTTGTGAAATGTAGTTGGCAATAAAATTACTATTCTTTTTTCTTCTCTTAGAAGTTTCAATAGACACAAGCCATTATCCTGGCCAATTTTCTAAAGATACTGCCACACCCTTTAAAAGTGAGCAGCGTATGCAGAGTATGACATTTGAATGAAATTAAGTTTCCATATAATTGGCAAACACCATACAAATTAAATAATTCTACAAATTGAAATTCTTTAAGAGATTATCACTGCACAGAAAATACTTGCCCAAAAAGTAGCATTTCAAAATCAGAGGAAAAGACTTCTGATGCTAACCAAGGTGGGCTAGGCTTTTTACAGCCTATCTCCTTCACTGATTACAACTAAAAACGTTGAACAAAATATAAAAAGCAACTACTTGCAGATTCTAAACAGTAAATAAAAGTGAATGGGAGGAAAGTCCTAACCTGAGGAATTATCAGTAATGGGGTAGTGAGTTTTCTAAGTTTTTTTTTCTATTTTCTGGCTTAGTGGGGAAACTGTGCAGCAGGCACAGGTAGCAATAACTCAAAATAGAGAACTAAAAAAAGGACCATATGTGAGCCAGAAAGTTTGGGCATAAATCCAAGTTTTGTTTCATGTTTTGCTTTTTCTCTCTTTATTCTTTTTTGTCTCTACCCCCAGATTAAACATACTCACAGGACTGTATTGCCACGACAGAAGAAACAGTGGTGCAGTTACCTAAAACACTGAGCAAAAACCTGTCTCTCTGGATAGAAATAAAAAAAGAGGCCCCTGTTGTGCACAGACGACGAGGGAAATCTAAGTATTTTTCTCTCTTTTTTCTTGCCACTTTGCTCCCAGTGTTGGCATGAAATTGTACCAATAGCATGGGAAGAGAAAACCCTGAAAGAACTTCATCATTTTGGCCAGAAAAATGTATACAAAAAGGTGCCCCTGTGATATGGAAAGTGGGGCGGAGGGTGGGGGAAATTCTGAAGAGGGAAGACCTAAAGCTGTGCATGCATGGACCACATCTAAAGCAGCATATCAGAGGCTTTAAACAATATCATAAATCCTACTCCATTTAACTCCTGAGTAATGAATGCTGAGAAGTAGATTCAAATAGTATAGTGAAGGCTTACAAATCTGAACTGACGTTGAAACATCACCCACAGAAGAAAAGCTGAGAATTGTGATCTAAACTTAATTGAGTCATTTGAGTGCTAAAGCAAAAAATCAATCTTGTCCAGAGGATTTTAACAGGACCCAAAGTCTCATATTCAAAATTTCCAGGGTACAATCCAAAATTAACACACAAAGAACAATGACATGGCTAATTCTCAAAGAAACAGATAGATTTGAAATTGCCAGAAAATAACTTTAAAGCAGGTATTATAACCATGAGATAAAGGTGAACATTTTTGAAATAAATGGAGACATTCTCAGAAGAAAAATATCAAAAAGGATAATGAGAACCAAATGGAAATTCTAGAACTGAAAAACATAGTATCCGAAATTAAAGTCCACAGTATGTGCTCAATAGCAGAACAGAAATAACAGAAGAGTCAGTGAACTTGAAGACAGATGAATATATATGGTCCAATTTGATCAACAAGGAGAAACACTAACAGATTGAATAAAGCTATATGATCTAACTGTAAGCTGCCTACAAGATACCCATTTTAAATATAATAATATAGTTCTATTAAACGTAAAATGATGATAAAAGATGTAACATGAAAACACTAATCAAAAGAAAGCTGTACTGGCAATAGAAATATCAGAAAAAATAGACTTTAGAACAAGAAAACTCTAAAGGATAAAGGGGGACATACACAATGACAAAAGGGTCAATTCATCAAGGAGACATGGTAGTCTTTAATGTGTATGCCTCCAACAACAGAGCTCCAAAATAAATAAAGCTAAAATTGGTAATACTGAGGAGAGAACAAGTAAACAGAAAACTAGCAAGGATATTGAAGCCATGAACAGTATTATCAAGGAATTCAACCTAACTGACTTTCAAAAAGCCCTTCACTCAATAATAGCAGAATTTTTTTTTAAAGTCCACATGGAACATTACAAATATAGATAAAATTTATGCCATAAAAGAAACCTTGAAAAATTTTAAACAACTGGAATCATATAATGATAGCCTGAAAATAACAAATAAATTTGAAATTAAAAACAGTAACAAAGAATACCCTAAAAGTCTCCAAGTATTTGGAAATTAAACAATATATTTCTAAAAAAATCCATGAATCAAAGACAAAAATCTCAAAACAATTAGAAAATAAGTTTAAAGGAAATGAAAATGAAAATAAAACATCAAAATTTGTACTATGTAGCTAAAGCAATACTTAATGTGAAACGTAGCATTAAATCCATGGATTAGAAAGGAAAAATCTAGAATCAATAATGTTCCACCTTAGGAAACCAGAGACAGAAAAGCAATTTATGCCTAAAGCAAACAGAAGCAAAGAAATTATAAATAGTAGGGAAGAAATGGGTAATATTGAAAACGAGAAAAGAATGGAGAAAAACAAACCAAAGGCTTGTTCCTATAAAGGATCAACAAAATTTATCAAACTCTAGCCAGATTGACCAAGAAAACAGAATACACAAATTATCAATATTAGAAGTGACAGGCAAGATTATCATTACAGACCCTATAGACATTAAATAAATAATGAGGATATACTATCAACAACTCTGTGTTTATAAATTTAACAGCTTAGATGAAACTGAGCAATTTCTGAAAAGACAGAAACTACCACTTAGGAATTTAGTCTTCTCACTTAGGAAGACAAAGATCACCTGGATAGACCTGTTACTAATTAAAAGTTGAATTCATAGATAAAATCTTTCAACAACAAAAAAAGTTCCAGGCACAGATAATTTCTTTGGTCATTTCTAGCAAACGTTTAAGGAAGAATTAATTCTAATTCTATATGAGTTCTTCCAGAAAATAGGAGAGAAGACTTCTCAATTCCTTTTGTGAGTCCAGCATTACTCTGAAACCAAAACCGTACAGACATTACAACAAAAAACACAGATCAATATCCCTCATGAACATAAATGCAAAACTCTTCAAATCACATTAGCAAATTGAATCCAAAAATATATAAATAGGAGAATACATTATGACCAAGGAGAGTTTAATCTGGAAATGCAAGGCTAGTTCAATATTAAAAAAATCAATCAATATAGTTTACCATATTAACAGACTAAACATAAAATAGAAAGTATAGGATCAACTCAATAGATGCAGAAAAAACATTGGACAAAATTTAACATCCATTAATATTAAAAACCATCAGCAAACTAGGAATAGAAGGGAGTTTCTTTCACATGATACAAAGGAGTTACAAAACCTATAGCTAATACCATATACGATAGTAAAAGACTGATTTTCTCTAAGATTAGGTAAAAGGCAACAGTGTCAGAGTTCATCAACCCTATTCATCATTATACTGGAAGCCCTTGTCAGTGCAACAAGCTAATAAAAAGAATGAAAAGGTATACAGATTAGGAAGTAATAAGCTAAACTGTCACTAATTGCAGACAGCATGATTGTCTACATATAAAATATCCCAATAAATCTGCATAAAAGGTCCTAGAATAAATGAATTTATGAAGCTACAGGGTAAAAAGTCAGTATTTAAAAATAAACTACTTTCTCAATGAACAACTGAACACAATCTTTTAAGTACCACACAGAAAAAAAGAAATATTGGGTATAAATCTAACAACAAAACACTGATGAAAGAAATCAAAGAAGACCTAAGTACATGAAGGAATACACTGTGTTTATATGTTAGAAAACGTACTAAGTTGTCAATTCTTCTCAAATTGATCTGTAGATTCAGTTAGTACCAATAAAAATCCCAGCAAGATCGTGTGTGGTCATTTAAAAATTGATTCTAAAATTTATATTTAGAAGTAACAACTAGACAAAACAATTTTGAAAAAGAACAAACATGAAAGCTACACTACCTGACTTTGAGACTTAGTATGCTTCAATAATCAAAGAAATACAGTATTTACATCAACACATATAGGTCAATGGAACAGAGAACTCAGCAACAAACCCACATGTATATGAACCAATAATTTTCAACAAAGATGTAGAGCGCTTCCTTTCCAGCCCTGTTCCCGGCCCTACAGCCGCCGAGATGTTGATGCCTAAGAAGGATTGCCATTTATGAACTCCTTTTTAAGGAGCAAGTCATCGTTGCCCAAAAGAATGTCCTCATGCCTAAGCACCCACAGCTGGCAGACAAGAATGTGCCCAACCTTCCTGTCATGAAGGCCATGCAGTCTCTCAAGTCCTGAGGCTACGTGAAGGAACAGTTTGCCTGGAGACATTTCTACTGGTGCCTTACCAATGAGGGTATCCAGTATCTCCGTGATTACCTTCATCCACCCCCAGAAACTGTGCCTGCCACCGTACGCTGTAACCGTCCAGAGACGGGCAGGCCTCAGCCTAAAGGTCTGGAGGGTGACCGACCTGCAAGACTCACAAGAGGGGAAGCAGACAGAGTTCCTAACAGACGGAGTGCTGTGCCCCCTGGTGCAAACGAGAAAGGTGAGGCTGGGGCTGGGTCAGCCACTGAATTCCAGTTTAAAGGTAGATTTGGTCTTGAAGCGGTTGAAGCGATCAGCCACCTCAGTAAAACCGAAAAGGATTATTTTGCATTGCATAGCCAAAAAAAAAAAAAGGTGTAAAGGCAATCTGTTTTTTAAAAAGGATAATGTTTTCAACAAATTGTGTTGGAACAATTGTGTATCTCCATTGTCTCTCTTTCTCTTCCCTCCACCCGCAACTCTCTCTCTCCCTATATATGTGTGGGTGTAGTTATACACAAACAGATGTTTTGTTCAATATCCAGTTAATAACTATATCAAACTTATTTTCCCCGGACAATAGTCTTAATGTAACATCTTTTTCTATTCAAAGACAGGATGTTTGTGACTTCAGCTAATATCCAATTTTAAAGATTTGGGCTTCCACAGAATAACATATTAGATGGATAAAATTTTAAAGGAGATATTCTTCAGTGTAGATGGAAAGAAAATGGTTGTTTAAAAAACTATACCAACAATTGTGGAAAACTGTATGCAACAAACGGATTTAAATAGCTTCACTCTTTAGATGAATACAAATACTGAATTCAAAATGAACAAGCACTGTATTTACTTGCTTACTTTTCCATTATTATTTTGTTTTGTTTTGTTTTAACAAGAAAATGTTTTTCTCCACATAACCTTTCTCTTACTTCTGCTATCAAACATTCTTGAATCTACAAAGGCTTTAAAATCAGTGATTCCCAAAAGGAAATTGAATTTTTATAGCACTCAATGTTCCAAGTTTTGACAGTGTGTATTCTTTCGTTACTGTCTAGAGAGGATTGTTATTTGGTGCTTTTGCGGATTTTTTGAAAATACAGACTTCTAACAGTGAAAATACACATTCACAGCAGTCTTCAGTGAAAATACACATTCACAGCAGAACACAGATTTTGAATAAAAAGCAGCAGTACATTTCAAAGTTTTGATATTTTCCTTTTTACACACACACATAAATTCATAAAAACAGACAAAGTACTGTTATTCTCAGTTTTTATTGCTACTGAATAAAACCCAATATATCTCTCTCCTATAGAAATGAAAACTTACTTTTTAAAAAAGAAGAGTTACATCAAATATAGGTCTGATCTACTTACCAAGATGTTAAACAATCCTAATCCTTTACCCGGGAAATGTTTAGATACATTATAATTACATTTAATGTTATCACTAGCCTTTGAAATTTTAATTAGACAGGGACCTTTAGGTGTCAATTGCTCCAAAAGTTAATTATTTTCTAACTTGCCCAAATTTTATAGATGATTCCAGTTTTCCTAAATAATCATCTTCACTTAGCTGAGATAATATGTGAAAAACACTTAGCACAGGATTAGGTCTTCAGTAAGTGCTCAATATTAGATATTATCATTGTCAAGCACTGCACAGGTAAAAAAGATACTTAGCTGATATTTCAAAGTGATCATTCTAAACCTATTTACTGAAAGTAAGATTATCAAAATATATTGGAAAAAGAAGCCAAAAATGAATATTATTAATATTTTCTTCTTAGTATAGTTGCTACCATAACTTTTTGCTAACATTTCAACATTTTTACAAATGAATAGTAAAGATATAGGAGCTGTGAATCATTAACATCATTTTCTATCTCCATCCCTCCCAAAATGCGAGTGTGTTGTCTTGAAAAATAATCACTGAACAGTTTAGGATCTTATATGCAGATATATGCATCAACAGTTCCATTATTTTTGAAATATGCTAGACTCAAATGTAAGGGTATATTAATTTGCTACAAAGTAAGATGCAATTTGGCCTCTGATGATGGATAAAGTAGTTGTAGATATCCTGCTAGAAAGAACCATAATATATAAATTGCAAGTCAAAATAATGACTATCATTTCAGTAACTACCAATATGTAGGACATGACCAGCTACTTTCACAAGAGCTTGAGAGAGCTAAAGCTCTTTTCTGCGATAAAAACAGTAACAATAACAAAAGCAGCAGACATTTGACTATTATTATGCTTTAGTTAATTGGTTCAGCTAGACAAAAGGGAGAGTAAATGTTAGACTTCCAAAATTTCAAAAATCTCCCACCTGTGTCAATCTGTAAGGTATATTCTAACACTAAATATCAACACAAACTGTTTGCATGCCACATGTTAAGTAATTCAACAATGAGCTTCCATTCTGTGCTTGGTAAAAGGCACTTAAAAATCTGCTAAAATCTTTATTTTAGCAGCCAGCTAATGCACATATTTATCATTAATCTAGATTATCTAATTTCTCCTTGGATTAACTGAGAATATTGGATCAGAGTACCCAGTATTTTAGTTCCCCAAAGTAAAGCTTTGTAATCTTTTCTTCAAAAAGACAAATTAATTAAATTTAACTTTAGCTCCTTGGTCTCTCTAGCTACAGTTTATTTTGTGAACACACAAGAACCATGTGATACAGCTTTTTCTTTTTGCCTTAGTTATTGGAAAACTTTGAATTTAATGTAGGGCCCAGCTTTAGGGATTAGCTTGTCTCAAATTCTAACAGTAACGACTCCTTTAACTTCCCCTAGGTGGTCTCATCAGATTTTATCTTGTTTTATTTTATAATCATATTGCACATACCTCAAATTCTTATAAAACAATTTAGTAAATAAATGTTAAAGAAATCCATTATCAGGATAATTTACTGAAAAGCAAATGTGTTCACCAGAGTTTTAATTTGTAAAATGATTTTCATAATTACTACATACATAAAACTTAGGAAAGTCTCCACATTTAGTGTTTACTTCTATTTTAAAAGTTCACATGCCACAACCATTTTTACTTTAAAAAGTACCATCATATCAGTTACTTTTGCACAGTAACCTAACAACTAGTCAAAATAGTCATGTAACACAGAGGTAGGAAATATCTGTGCTATTGTTAACATGCTAAAACCCCAAGAAAACTGGCTGAGTGATAAAAGGCTCATGGTAATGTAAACTTGGAAATAAGAAGGTTGTCCTCACACTGTGATAGGCTGAAGTCCTTGGTTTCTGGGATGTGAGACCTTGAGGAAAGGGTGAGGCAGACAAACCTTTAATAATCTCCCAGCCCAGTCTACACAGGATTTCCCTACTAATCAGGCAATTACAGGTATAATGGCTACTAATCCCTATCAGGATAGGACCCAGAAATACATCCATCTAATTTTAAATAGTCCCACACTACAGACTAAGACAGAATTCGGAACATCTGCAGAATCACCATCAATGATGCACTGCTGCACACTTCGTTAACCTCTAATAACAAAACCCTATATTTTATGGGAATGAAAATTTTGGACTTCCCTTACTTAAGGCAGGGTTTTGCTCTATTTGCTAAAAATTAATTTTTAAAAATTAAGTAAATGTCATCTGGTTGGTTTGTTTACTTATGTGTCTAATACTCAACTATTATAATAATAGGAGAAGAAAGTGATTATTCATACTTAATTTCACTAATTAGTGGAGTCATTTTTTAATACTGTAAAAGTTCGCTACCTAAAATTATTAGAAGGAACACAGATAAATCTACTGATTATTTGATAAACACCATTTGTGAAAAAAATTTTCTTACATTATGATTATCCCATTATCAATGGAAAATGAGTCAGAAGGTAATCCAGCAATATTCCAAGTTCGAATTGTCGCAGCTTCTCCCAGGGTACCCATAAGGGAATAATCATCTGAACAGGGGATATTTCTTCCTTTGCACAAAGTTGTCCACTCCTTAGTTTGGTTCTTTAGAACATATACAGAAAAATAAAGAAATGAGACTGGCAGTTACCAAAAGCATGCTTTGTAATTCTTCCATTTATACCTTATTCATTGATTTAACAAACCATTGTGGAAACTCTACCTCAAAAATGATTTGTGTTTCTCAGATTCTTATTTCAAATAAAATTCTAACTTAGAAGGTCAGCCATGTACTCAACATATTCAATGTTGAGATAAAGTCTAGATTAAGTGCTTAAGTCATAATTTTGTATCTGGAAAAAATAATTACCAATTGTTATTCTAAAGCTTCATTTTCAATGCTATCCCTATCAAATTACCAACGACATTTTTCACAGAATTTGGAAAAAAAATTCTAAAATTCATATGGAACCAACAAAGAGTCTGAATAGCCAAAGCCATCCTAAGCAAAAGGAACAAAGCCAGCAGCATCACAATATCTGACTTTGAACTATACTGCAAGGCTCCAATAACCAAAACAGCATGATACCAGTGCAAAAACAGACACATAGACCAACGGAACAGAATAGAGAGCAGAGAAATAAAGCTGTACACCTACAAGCATCTGATCTTTGACAGAGTCGATAAAAATAAGCAATGGGGAAGGGACTTCCTATTCAATAAATGGTGCTAGGATACCTGGCTAGCCATATGCAGAAGACTGAAATTGGACCCCTTTATTACACCATATACAAAAATCAACTTAAGATGGATTAAGGACTTCTATGTAAAACCTAAACCTATAAAACCTTAGAAGAAAACCTAGGAAATACCATTCTAGACATAGGTCCTGGTAAAGATTTAAATGGCAAGGATGCCAAAAACAATCATGACAAAACCCAAAAAATGACAAATAAGACCTATTTAAACTAAGGAGCTTCTGTACAGCAAAATAAACTATCAGAAGCGTAAAGAGACAACATACAAAATGGGGAGAAAACATTTGCAATCTATGCATCTGACAAAGGTCTATATCTAGAATCTATAAGGGACTTAAATTAATAAGCAAAAACCAAACAACCCCATTAAAAAGTAGGCAAAGGACATGAACAGACACTTCTCAACAGGAGACATATACGTAGCCATAAGGATATGAAAAAATGCTCAACATCACTAATCATTAGAGAAATGTAAATCAAAACCACAATGAGATGCCATCTCATACCAACCAATAAGAATGGCTTTTGCTAAAAGTGAACAAACAGCCGATGCTGATGAGGTTGTGAAGAAATGGGACTGCTTATATACCACTAGTGAGAATGTAAATTAGTTCAGCCATTGTACAGAGCAGTGTAGTGATTTCTCAAAAAACTTAAAACTATTATTCAACCCAACAATCCCACTACTGGATATATGCCCAAAGAAATACAAATTGTTCTACAATAAGGACACATGCATGCTGTGATGGTTAATACTGAGTGTCAACTTGATTGGACTTAAGGATGCAAACCATTGATCCTGGGTATGTCTGTGACGATGTTACCAAAGAGATTAACATTTGAGTCAGTAGGCTGGGAAAGACAGACCCACACTTAATCTGGGTAGGCACCATCTAATCAACTGCCAGCACAGCCAGTATATAAAGCAGGCAGAAAAAATGTGAAAAGGCTACACTGGCTTAGACTTTCAGCCTGTATCTTTCTCCCATGCTGGAGGTTTCCTGTCCTTGAACATCAGACTCCAAGTTCCTCAGCTTTGGGACTCAGACTGGCTTCCTTGCTCCTCAGCTTGCAGACAGCCTATTGTGGGACCTTCTGATCCTTCACGTTAATACTACTTAATAAACTCCCTTTATATATGTATCTATCCTATTAGTTCTGTCCCTCTAGAGAAACCTAATACATGTGTATGTTCACTGCAGCACTATTCACAATAGCAAAGACATAGAATCAACCCAAATGGTACATATACACCACAGAATACTATGCAACCATAAAAAAGAATAAGATCATGCCCTCTGCAGCAAAGTGGGTGTAACTGGAGACCATTAACCTAAGCAAACTAATGCAGGGAAAGAAAAGCAAATACTCTATGTTCTCACTTATACGTGGGAGCTAAATGATGAGAACACATGGACACAAAGGGAGCAATAGACACTGGGACCTACTTGAGGATGGAGGGTGGGAAGAGGGTGAAGACTGAAAAACTACCTACCAGATACTAAGCTTATTACCTGGATGAGAGAAGGTTGACACACAATTTACTTATGTAAAATACCTACATGTGTACCCCTGAACCTAAGAGTTAAAAAAAAGAACAATAAAGCATCACTTTACAGAGTCATTAGGACCACCATATTTTTCATAAAGCATCACTTTACAGAGTCATTAGGACCACCACATTTTTCTAAGTATTTTATGTTACAAATATCTAGCACATACAATGATAGAAAAGTAAATCCATTTTGAACCAGTAGGAGAGATAGAAAACATTTACTTCTGACTCACATGCCCTGTGAGGGGCCATAGCAGGGCATTTCAGTGCCAACAAGGATCAGGGCACACACTGCAGTTTGTGAGACTCTACCTGGGGGACAGTCTACAGGATGTGCAGGAACCAGGAAGGTACTACAAGCCAAGGTTCCTATTCAGAAAGTCAGAAGTCAACGTCCAAGTTGAGTTTACAGATCAAATATTTCAGAAATAGGGAAAGACATAACTGGAGAGAAAACAGAAGAAGGCAAAAGGAAGGTGGATATGTATGGTGTTGGTACCAGCCTCTGGGTTGGTGAGGGTGTTGGATGCTCATAGATGGCGCTGGCTGAGAGAACGTGCTGGGCACTTTCATCTCCCTCAGGCTCTTGCTAAGTAGGCTGGACCAACATTCCTTGAGGTTTGCACAAGAAAGGCCATCATGGTTTTGGGGGAATTGATGACATTCATGACCTTGATAAGCCCGTTAATATTATGTAGAATGCCCCACAACTGGGTCTGTATGATGTTCCATCATGATTCATTTCGGGTTTTGCATCTTTGGCAGGAATATCACAGAAATCATGTGCTCTTCTCATTGCATCTATCAGATGGCACACAATTTCAAATTGTTCATTTACTGATTACACTAATTTTTGTCACTTGATTAAAGTGTTGTCTGCCAGGCTTCTGTCTCATAATTATATGAGCTTATGTGTGATTATAGATTCTTCAGATGGTGGGATGCAATGCAAAGACACTCAGATAAATGAAAGGCGGAACTCTGTTAGTTACAGCTCCAAATGAGAGAAGGTCGTACATAGGGCCACATGGGGTGTTGTCAGGAGACAGAGTAGCAGCAAGCCAGAGCTGTGGGAGGCAGTTCATATGTGGTAAATGGGATGGAATCAGCTGGGTTTCATAGGTTTCCTGGGGATTGGGTATTCTGAATCATTCTGTGGGTGCAAGGAAGAAGGGGCTGTCTCTGGTATCTGGGGGCCTCTGGAAGCTCACTGTTGTAACCCAGGAGTGTTCAAGCCTAATTAAAGAAAATGGTTGGGGTGAGGGCTTAGCACACTGCCCACGAGAAAGAATTCCAAGTTTTTAGCTATTATTTAAAATAGTTAAGACAGCACTTGTGAAATATATTATAGCCTCCCAACTGCTAAATTGCTCTTTTCCCCATTCCCTTTGCAGGTAATAAGATTCTGCAGGGAGATAACTTGTAACCATGAAAATGTCCTGTTTTTTTTTTCAAACATTCCATTTTTTCATTATTAATTTATGTCAGCATAGATTCATCTTTTTCACATTTTATCTAATGAATTATATAATATGTTACTGGCACTATTTATTGTGATGCTGAAATTGTCCAAAATTTGGCCAGTGGGAATACCCTTAAGCTAAATTTTGTGTTCTTTTGACATGGCCCCATCTTTCTCTGGGTACTTCCTTACTCTTGCTCAAAAAAGACATTTCAGACTTGTCTTATAGTGAAGTCCAAGATAACCAAAGATGATCCTCCTACTTTAAGCTCAGCTGACTAGCAACCATAATTCCATCTGCAAAGTCCCTTTGCCATGTAACGTGGCATAGTTACAGGTATAACACTCAGAGGTGAAGATCATAGGGGCCAAAGTTCTGCCTATCATAAATACTTAATAAATATAATCTGGCTGTTTTATTTGGTTGTTGATATGAGGAACAGATGGTATTGCTATGTAGGGAGGAGGGACAGATAGCATTTCCAATTTGAGTTCTGCAGACAGTTGCTTCTGGCATGTTTTATTATATTAAAAAAAATTTTTTTTTTTGAGACGGAGTTTTGCTTGTTACCCAGGCTGGAGTGCAATGGTGCGATCTTGGCTCACCGCAACCTCCGCCTCCTGGGTTCAGGCAATTCTCCTGCCTCAGCCTCCTGAGTAGCTGGGATTACAGGCACGCGCCACCGTGCCCAGCTAATTTTTTGTATTTTTAGTAGAGACGGGGTTTCACCATGTTGACCAGGATGGTCTTGATCTGTTGACCTTGTGATCCACCCGCCTCGGCCTCCCAAAGTGCTGGGATTACAGGCGTGAGCCACCATGCCTGGCCCCATATTTTTTAAATTTAATGGTTTTTTTTGAGATGGAGTCTCACTCTGTCACCAGGCTGGAGTGCAATGGCATGATCTTAGCTCACAGCAATCTCTGCCTCCTGGCCTCAAGCAATCCTCCCACCTCAGCCTCTAAGCAGTACTGGGACTATGGGCACACATCACCATGCCCGGCTTTTTTTTTTTTTTTTTGTATTTTTTGTAGAGAAGGGGTTTTACTATGTTGTCCAGGCTGGTCTCAAACTCCTGAGCTCAAGCAATCTGCCCACCTAGGCCTCCCAAAGTGCTGGGATTATAGGTGTGAGCCACCTCTCCTAGCACTACTGGAATGTTTTATTCTATTTGTTTTCATGCTGTAGGTTGACCTACAGCCATTTTGGAGAGGTCTGCAAGCTTTCTTGGATTTAGCTTGATGCTGGAGTAGGCATGCTAGCCCACAACACAGCAAAGAAGTAGAGAAAATAGAAGCAATAGTTTCTGCAGAATGCTCTGCAGAGTTCACAGGTTTAGTATGTTACCACAGATGAACTCTGGACTAGCAATTTAAGAAGCCTAATTACATGCCTATAAGGGCGTAATATCAGAGAATAACCAAAACGAGCATGGAGGACTCTGAACAAGCATCTCAAAATTCAAGCCAGTGGTCTTGGCTGGTAATCAGGTGATGAGATAGATGATGGATTTGCTGGCATATGGTTATGAAAAATGAGAGAGAGAGAGAGAGAGAGAGAGACACGGTACAAGTGGAAAACTGGCTATTAAGAGTGTCATCTCAGTGAAAATACCCAAGACCATTAAAACAGTTTTGACTTTGGTTATTGGCAGAGAAAAGGTCAATTGGAAGGTTTAAATTAATTCAAATCCAGGGCTCACATGTTCTTAATAGCACTGTAGGGTTCTGTTTTGGGAGGTGGCACAGGCATTGCAGTTGAGTGCTATGGGCCCAGTTATTCTGGGAGAATTGAAGTTTTCTATGTTTTATTTATAAAAAGTGCCAGGAACTCTACAAAAGAGTTGAGAAGTAATTGACAACTACTCAGATTCAAGGTTGGAGGGGAAATGCAGTTATTTATTGAGGGTCCTTGATATTCAGAGACTTGAAACCTTTTGATGTCAGAAAAGGACCAAATGTTGTAAGGCCTCTTAGCTTGGGTTCCCTGAAGCAGACTCTGGGATGAAGATTCATGTGAAGTGACATGCTGAGGAAAGGATGCAGGGGGAAGCAGGGCAAGGAGGTGTAGGAGCCAACAAAGGGTGAGGGAGCAGCCTAAGTTCTGCAGTAGGTGGCCTCAGTTAGACGCCACAGGAAACCTCTGTAGTGTAAGCTATTCCTTGGAGCTGTCCCAACCAGAGGGAAGGGAGAGAGACTGCCATGCTCACTTCAATGATTCATTAAGGGTTGCTGAAGAGGAAGTACATTCCCAGGCACTCCTTGCTCTCCAAACATTGGGTAAAGTGGGTTCTAAGAACACAAGGGTAGCCTGACAGAAAAAGCCACAGGTGATAGTTGTTGGGTGTGAAAGCACACAGAAGCCAGCAGGGGCTCTGGGCAGAGCCCTTATGTTGCCTTCCAACCCTTTTGCTGAGAATTGAATGAGACAGTTTTGATGGGAAATAAATTGCTAGCTGTCTTGACCTGAGAGAAACAGATAAAAAAGTAAAGATGAGAAGGTAGGACTCCAAGAATTAATCCACAGGAAGGAATGGTGACATGAGAGACTGGGTAAGGAAAGTAAAAACTTAGGTTGACCCAGTGAAGCAAGGAAGAAAGAAGACTGCCTTCACAGAGATGAGGTGGTGTGGGATGATGTGACTGCCAGAATCAAGTGTTTGGACAGTGAATGAGTTCACAGAGAAACTCTGAGCTTTGCCAAGTCTTGTGTCTAAGTTGAATGCGGCTTTGTGTCTATCAGTAAATTTCCAAGGTCTCAGTTCAGGTGCTTAAGGCACCCCTGAAGCATTTGTGTGATGGTCTGACTAGAAGCCTCCCATCTAGATAGTAGCCAGGTGATGGCAAAGTCAAAAGATGCAGTTCCTTGGAGTGAGTCTGTCGGAGAGGGCCTGGGAGGGATGGTACATGTAGCTCTTCAAGCATTGGGTACACTGGATTTTGCTAGTGCACTGGGTAGTGCTAATACACTTTCTGATTAGCTCTAGAATGCTAGTCAGAAGCAGTGCAGCCACCTAGGGGTGTGCTCTGGACCAGCAGGTAAGGTAAGGGTGGCTGAAGCTACTCCTTTTATTGTTCAAAGTGTCAATGTAGAAGAGTAGGAAGAGGGCTAAATTAGGATGCAGACAGAGGAACTATGTAGGTGAGGATTTCAAACACTGAGTTAAAAACGATAACACCAATTAAAGCATAACAGTGGCACCAAGAGTCCACCCTCCTTAGGAGACAGTTCTGAAATTAAGTGAGGCTCAACTGAGACCACGTGCAAGCCAATGCTCAGTGATAAGATAAACCCCTCCACAAAGGGGATTTAACACATGCTCTTTCTTGCTTGACACCAAAAACTACTGCCAAATGTTCTGAATTTCTCCCTTCTTTTATTCTCATTATCATCCCACCCTGTTTTTCTTTTAGTTATCTTAATTTTTCTAAATCTCTCTGCCTGCTTTGATAGGGCCATCACCCAGGTTGGATTCCAATTCCATTTTTCTAAAAAGAGCTGAAGAGTATGCCGAGTCTCTCATTCCGTAAAAAACTAAAAAACAGAAGAGAAAAACAGGAAGAATAATTAGGATTAACTTTTAGGGTTAGGTGTTGGGCCAGTGAGAAGAAAGAGGCAGAATCAGTCAGAGAAATGGGAAGCAAAGCAGGGAACATGGGGTTTGTTTTCTAAGGAATAAAGCCACTTATTAACAGGTTTTAGGCAGGCTCACCTTTTCCACCCCTCAAATTTCATTCTCTGAAATGATTTTGAAATGGCTTACTATGGAGACTGATAGGAAACAGTTGTGAAGTGTACACACACACACACACACACACACACACACAGTTCTTATACCTTTTTTACAATACTTGCTTAGGAACTGAGATTTTATCAGTAGAATCTAAAATCTTCCCCTTACTTTATTTTCTTTTTATTTTTAATCAGGAAGCCCCACACTAGAATAGGTTCAGAGACTCCCCATTTTCACATTACATTTTAAAGTAGACACTTCTGTTTTTAAAACAATTAGATCTTTGAAGAGTATATTACATGGCACCATTTGGCTAACCAGCTAATTTATAGAATAACTAAAATCCATAAGTAGAAATTACTTAAAAATATCTTCCTCCTTGGCCGGGCGTGGTGGCTCACGCCTGTAATCCCAGCACTTTGGGTGGCCGAGGAAGGTGGATCACGAGGTCAAGATCTCGAGACCATCCTAGTCAACATGGTGAAACCTCGTCTCTACTAAAAATACAAAAAATTAGCTGGGCACGGTAACACGTGCCTGTAATCCCAGCTACTCAGGAGGCTGAGGCAAGAGAATTGCCTGAACCCAGGAGGTGGAGGTTGCGGTCAGCCGAGATCGCGCCATTGCACTCCAGCCTGGGTAACAAGAGCGAAACTCAATCTCAAAAAAACAAAACAAACAAAAAAAACTTCCTCCTTGTACTTATCAAAAAACTGAAACCAAAGTGAAACAAAACCCGAAATATTGGTAATATTGGCTGTGATGGGCAGAGGGTCAGGAAGAGATGGAACAGCATCCCCTACCTGTCTATAGGTAGATGTGAAGGCTCCGAGGTAAGCAACTACTCCTGCGGAAATGAGGATATCCCCGGTCAAGTTGATGTACAGCTGCCCTAGGTCCAGAGCTGTGTGGCTCCATCTAGTTTTCTCACCTCCAAGGCCTCCAATCAACTGCTCAGCTCGTTCTAATTTTTTGCTGCACAGGTCAACCTCAAAAATAAAAGTGAGTTTTTATCATTTATAAGTACAGTAAGCCTAAAATTCTGCAAGATTTTACCCTGAGAAGTAAATTATTATTATTTTTAATTACAGACTTCTGTCTGGGATTTCCTAGGACACTATGACATAGGAAAGTCCACAATATTTTAGAATTTGTAAATTTAAAGTATTTAATGTAATTTATGAAATTAATGAATATTTATTGTATAATGCAAAAAGCAGCCCTATTTAAAGAAACGACACAGTTCAAGACAATGAATGTTAATTAAAGGATATTCTTCTGCAAATATAGATGTTTTCTCTCCATTTTAAATAATCTAGATGCACTTGCAGTGTTCTACAAACCTTTTCCCTTCATTTAACTGATGGTTGATTTTATTATAATCTTAAAGGTTAAATGTTTGAGTTTTAATAATTTATGATTTTTTTTAAAATTTTGTATTGCATTTTAGGTTTTGGGGTACATGTGCAGAGCATGCAATACAGTTGCATAGGTACACACATGGCAGTGTGTTTTGTTTGCTTTCTCTCCTTCACCCACATTTGGCATTTCTCCCCAGGCTATCCCTCCCCTCCTCCCCCTCCCACTGGCCCTCCCCTTTCCCCCGCAATAGACCCCAGTGTTTAGTACTCCCCTCTCTGTGTCCATGTGTTCTCCTTTTTCATCACCCGCCTATGAGTGAGAATATGCAGTGTATCATTTTCTGTTCTTGTGTCAGTTGAGAATGATGTTCTCCAGATTCATCCATGTCCCTACAAACGACACGAACTCATCATTTCTGATTGCTGCATAATATTCCATGGTGTATATGTGCCACATTTTCCCAATCCAGTCTATCATCAATGGGCATTTGGGTTGATTCCAGGTCTTTGCTATTGTAAACAGTGCTGCAATGAACATTCCTGTGCATGTGTCCTTATAGTAGAATGATTTATAGTCCTTTGGATATATACCCAGTAATGGGATTGCTGGGTCAAATGGAATTTCTATTTCTAAGGCCTTGAGGAATCGCCACACTGTCTTCCACAATGGTTGAACTAATTTACACTCCCATCAACAGTGTAAAAGTGTTCCTTTTTCTCCACATCCTCTCCAGCATCTGTTGTCTCCACATTTTTTAATGATCGCCATTCTAACTGGCGTGAGATGGTATCTCAATGTGGTTTTGATTTGCATCTCTCTGATGACCAGTGACGATGTGCATTTTTTCATATGATTGTTGGCCTCATACATGTCTTCTTTCGTAAAGTGTCTGTTCATATCCTTTGCCCACTTTTGAATGGGCTTGTTTGTTTTTTTCCTGTAAATCTGTTTGAGTTCTTTGTAAATTCTGGATATCAGCCCTTTGTCAGATGGGTAAACTGCAAACATTTTTTCCCATTCTGTTGGTTGCCGATTCACTCTAGTGACTGTTTCTTTTGTCGTGCAGAAGCTGTGGAGTTTGATTAGGTTCCATTTGTCTATTTTGGCTTTTGTTGCCAATGCTTTTGGTGTTTTGTTCATGAAGTCCTTGCCTACTCCTATGTCCTGGATGGTTTTGCCTAGATTTCCTTCTAGGGTTTTTATGGTGCCAGGTCGTATGTTTAAGTCTTTAATCCATCTGGAGTTAATTTTGGTGTAAGGTGTCATGAAGGGGTCCAGTTTCTGCTTTCTGCACATGGCTAGCCAGTTTTCACAGCACCATTTGTTGAACAGGGAATCCTTTCCCCATTGCTTGTTTTTGTCGGGTTTATCAAAGATTGTATGGTTGTAGATATGTTGTGTTGCTTCTGATGCCTCTGTTCTGTTCCATTGGTCTATATCTCTGTTTTGGTACCAGTACCATGCTGTTTTGATTACTGTAGCCTTGCAGTATAGTTTGAAATCCGGTAGTGTGATGCCCCCCACTGTGTTCTTTTTGCTTAGAATTGACTTGGCTATGCAGGCTCTCTTTTGGTTCCATATGAAGTTCATGGTGGTTTTTTCCAGTTCTGTGAAGAAAGTCAATGGTAGCTTGTTGGGTATAGCATTGATTCTGTAGATTACTTTGAGCAGTATAGCCATTTTTATGATATTAATTCTTCCTAACCATGAACATGGAATATTTCTCCATCTGTTTGTGTCCTCTCTGATTTTGTTGAGCAGTGGTTTGTAGTTTTCCCTGAAGAGGTCCCTTACGTTCCTTGTGAGTTGTATTCCAAGGTATTTTATTCTTTTTGTAGCAATTGTGAATGGCAGTTCGTTCTTGATTTGGCTCTCTTTAAGTCTGTTATTGGTGTAGAGGAATGCTTGTGATTTTTGCACATTGATTTTATATCCTGAGACTTTGCTGAAGTTGCTTATCAGTTTCAGGAGTTTTTGGGCTGAGGCGATGGGGTCTTCTAGGTATACTATCATGTCGTCTGCAAATAGAGACAATTTGGCTTCCACCTTTCCTATCTGAATACCCTTTATTTCTTTTTCTTGCCTGATTGCTCTGGCTAGAACTTCCAGTACTATATTGAATAGGAGTGGTGAGAGAGGGCATCCTTGTCTAGTGCCGGATTTCAAAGAGAATGCATCCAGTTTTTTCCCATTCAGTATGATATTGGCTATTGGTTTGTCTAAATAGCTTTTATTACTTTGAGATACATTCCATCGATACCGAGTTTATTGAGGGTTTTTAGCATAAAGGGCTGTTGAATTTTGTCAAATGCCTTCTCTGCATCAATTGAGATAAGCATGTGGTTTTTGTTTTTGGTTCTGTTTATGTGGTGAATTACGTTGATAGACTTGCGTATGTTGAACCAGCCTTGCATCCCCGGGATGAATCCTACTTGATTATGATGAATAAGTTTTTTGATTTGCTGTTGCAATCGGCTTGCCAATATTTTATTGAAGATTTTTGCATCTATGTTCATCATGGATATTGGCCTGAAGGTTTCTTTTCTTGTTGCGTCTCTGCCAGGATTTGGTATCAGGATGATATTAGTCTCATAGAATGATTTGGGAAGGATTCCTTCCTTTTGGATTATTCGGAATAGTTTCAGAAGAAATGGTACCAGCTCCTCTTTGTGTGTCTGGTAGAATTCGGCTGTGAACCCGTCTGGACCTGGGCTTTTTTTGTGTGGTACGCTCTTAATTGCTGTCTTGACTTCTGCCCTTGTTATTGGTCTATTCATAGTTTCAGCTTCCTCCCGGTTTAGGCTTGGGAGGACACAGGAGTCCAGGAATTTGTCCATTTCTTCCAGGTTTACTAGTTTATGTGCATAGAGTTGTTTGTAATATTCTCTGATGATGGTTTGAATTTCTGTGGAATCTGTGGTGATTTCCCCTTTATCATTTTTTATTGCATCTATTTGGTTGTTCTCTCTTTTTTTTTAAATCAATCTGGCTAGTGGTCTGTCTATTTTGTTGATCTTTTCAAAAAACCAGCGCTTGGCTTCATTGATTTTTTGAAGGATTTTTTTTGTGTCTCAATCTCCTTCAGTTCAGCTCTGATCTTAGTTTTTTCTTGTCTTCTGCTGGGTTTTGGGTTTTTTTGATCTTGCTCCTCTAGCTCTTTCAATTTTGACGATAGGGTGTCAATTTTGGATCTCTCCATTCTTCTCATATGGCCACTTATTGCTATATACTTTCCTCTAGAGACTGCTTTAAATGTGTCCCAGAGATTCTGGCATGTTGTATCTTCGTTCTCATTGGTTTCGAAGAACTTCTTTATTTCTGCCTTTATTTCGTTGTTTATCCAGTCAACATTCAAGAGCCGGTTGTTCAGTTTCCATGAAGCTGTGCGGTTCTGGGTTGGTTTCTGAAATCTGAATTCTAACTTGATTGCACTATGGTCTGAGAGGCTGTTTGTTATGAATTCAGTTGTTTAGCATTTGCTGAGCAGTGCTTTACTTCCAATTATGTGGTCAATTTTAGAGTAGGTGTGATGTGGTGCTAAGAAGAATGTATATTCTGTGGATTTGGGGTGGAGAGTTCTGTAAATGTCTATCAGGTTTGCTTGCTCCAGGTCTGAGTTCAAGCCCTGGATATCCTTGTTGATTTTCTGTCTGGTTGATCTGTCTAATATTGACAGTGGAGTGTTAAAGTCTCCCAGTATTATTGTGTGGGAGTCTAAGTCTCTTTGTAAGTTGTTAAGAACTTGCCTTATGTATCTGAGTGCTCCTGTATTGGGTCCATATATGTTTAGGATCCTTAGCTCTTCTTGTATCGATCCTTTTACCATTATGTAATGGCCTTCTTTGTCTCTTTTGATCTTTGTTGCTTTAAAGTCTATTTTATCAGAGATGAGAATTGCAACTCCTCCTTTCTTTTGCTCTCCATTTGCTTGGTAAATCTTCCTCCATCCCTTTATTTTGAGCCTTTGTGTATCCTTGCATGTGAGATGGGTTTCCTGGATACAGCACACTGATGGGTTTTGGATTTTTATCCAATTTTCCAGTCTGTGTCCTTTGATTGGTGCATTTAGTCCATTTACCTTTAGGGTTAATATTGTTATGTGTGAATTTGATACTGCCATTTTGATGCTACCTGGCTGTTTTGCCCGTTAGTTGTTGTAGATTCTTCATTATGTTGATGCTCTTTAGCATTTAGTGTGATTTTTGAATGGCTGGTACTGGTTGTTCCTTTCTTTGTGTAGTGCCTCTTTCAAGAGCTCTTGTAAAGCAGGCCTGGTGGTGACAAAATCTCTGAGTACTTGCTTGTTCGCAAAGGATTTTATTTTTCCTTCACTTCTGAAGCTCAGTTTGGCGGGATATGAAATTCAGGGTTGAAAGTTCTTTTCTTTAAGGATGTTGAATATTGACCCCACTCTCTTCTGGCTTGTAGAGTTACTGCCGAGAGATCTGCTGTGAGTCTGATGGGCTTCCCTTTGTGGGTGACCCGACCTTTCTCTCTGGCTGCCCTTAGTATTTTCTACTTTATTTCAACCTTGTTGAATCTGATGATTATGTGCCTTGGGGTTGCTCTTCTTGTGGAATATCTTTGTGGTGGTCTCTGTATTTCCTGCATTTGAGTGTTGGCCTGTCTTGTTAGGTGGGGGAAATTTTCCTGGATGATGTCCTGAAGAGTATTTTCCAGCTTGGGTTCATTCTCTTCGTCACATACTGGTACGCCTATCAAACATCGGTTAGGTCTCTTCACATAGTCCCACATTTCTTGGAGACTTTGTTCATTCCTTTTTGTGCTTTTTTCTCTGATCTTGGTTTCTCATTTTATTTCATTGAGTTGATCTTCGACTTCTGATATTCTTTCTTCTGCTTGGTCAATTCGGCTATTGAAACTTGTGCATGCTTCGTGAAGTTCTCGTATTGTGTTTTCAGCTTCTTTAAGTCATTCATATTCCTCTCTAAGGTATCCATTCTTGTTATCATATCCTCAAATCTTTTTTCAAGGTTCTTAGTTTCTTTGCATCGATTTAAAACATGTTCTTTTAACTCACAAAAGTTTCTCATCATCCACGTTCTGAAGTCCAATTCCGTCACAGTCATTCTCCATCCAGCTTTGTTCCCTTGCTGGTGAGGAGTTTTGGTCCTTTCTAGGAGGCGAGGTGTTCTGGTTTCGGGTGTTTTACTCCTTTTTGCACTGGTTTCTTCCCATCTTTGTGGATTTATTCACCTGTCGTCTGTGTAGTTGCTGACTTTTCGATTGAGTCTCTGAGTGGACACCCAGATTGTTGATGATGAAGTATTTCTGTTACTTGGTTTTCCTTCTACCAGTCTAGCCCCTTCGCTGTATGACTGCTTAGGTCCACTCCAGGCCCTGCTTGTCTGGGGTGCTCCTATAGCAGCTGTGGAACAGCGAGGGATGCTACCAATTTCTTTTTCTGCTATCTTTGTCCCAGAATGATGCCTGCCAAATGTCAGTCTTTTGGATATAGAGGGGTCAGGGAGCTGCTTGAGGAGACAGTCTGTACTTTGTAGGAGCTCAAGTGCTGAGCTGTGAGCTCTGTTGTTCATTCAGGGCTGTTATGCTGCTATGCTTAATTCTGCTGCAACATAACTCATAAAAAAAAAAACTCTTTTTTTCTCAGATGCTCTGTCTGGGGTGGGTTGGGTCTTTCCTTGTGAGTGTCCGCCTTGCTGTCCTGCCCTGCTAGGAGGCAGTCTAGTCACTCTTTGCCTGCCGAGGCTCCGCCCTGCTGGTGTGAGGTTCGCCCTTCTGCTGCAGTCTCCGCCCTGCTGCCCCGGGCTACGCCCTGTGGCGGAGTCTCTCTGTTGTTCCGGGTTGCCTCGGCAATGGCAGGCTATGTCAGCAATGGTCGTGTACCTCAGTTGGGGCTGACTGCCTCGGTAATGGCGGATGCCCCTGCCCCACGGAGTTGCGCTTTAAGAAAACCTCCTCACCGGGAGCGTTTGGAATCACCGTTTTGTTTGTCGCACTGCGCTACCCCAAACGCTGTTTCCCTGGGATTTCCTGGGCTGGCTCCCTGTCCAAGTCCCATTCAGTCTCAAGTTCAGCCCTCTCAGGTCTCAGTTTGCTGGTTCAAAAGGGCACCCGTAACAGTGCGCTTTTGTATGGAGTGCCGTGGAGCGCCTCTGCGCTCTGGCGTGGGCTGCAGATGCACCAGCTGCCGGCTACACCAGCAAACACCTCTGCCTGGCGTCCCGCATCTCTTTTATACCTGGGAATTTCCCTGTTCTGTGGGCAACTAAGATCCGTCTGGAAATGCGTCCCTGACTCACCCTCTCCGCGTACCCAGCGAGAGCTTCAATCTTTTTATTTCTTTTTAACTGTCACATTTCACATCTCAATTTATGATTATTTACAAAGCACAATTTTCAGGTTTGTTAAGTTGTGTCAAACTATTCAGGCACTTGCAATTCATCTTAAATCAGGACGTCCGTCAATAGTGGACAGCTCATTTAGTGCATAAGACTGTCAACCAAATATGATTATGTGTAATTAAGCAATATGATAAAAAAGAGACACAATTATGAAGGTGGAAAACTTGGTGAAAGTTATTTCAGTTCACACAACAGCAATATTCCAGCAGAATATGTAAATTATTTTTATTAAATTTTTAAGTACCTTAACATCATTATCCTTGGAAGAAGATGAGATTAAATAAAGCTTATCTTGACATTCAAAAATAATTTACATGAAAAGAAAAATTCAATAATCAACAAAAGCAAAGACATTTAGATTATTTTGGAGTAAGAATTTGGCTTACGCTTTTTACTAATGTTATTAAAATTTATATTAAGTCAATGATTTTGGATTAAAAGATGTATAATTCTGTATCGGTTTATCTAAAGATAGGTTTGAAAAAAGCAAATGGTATGTAATTGTAGTATTTGTGATACTTCCTAAATTTAATTTTTTCCCTTTTAACTTTCCCTCTTTAAATGTCTTTTGTCTTTCTAGTTTCTTTCCTCACCTATTCTTTCAACAATGTTTATGATAAACTGAATCAGGTCTTGGACTATGACAAAGTTGCCACCAGAAACTACTAAGTAAACATATTTTAGCTAAAAAAATTTTACCTCCAAAATCACATTTTAAATACACATATATGCATACGTTCATTTTATGTTACCATAAGTTTCTAACATTTTATTATAAAAATAAAATTTTCAAACAGAGGAGAATTTTAAAATGTCTAAAGACAGCAACTGCATAATGATTCATTTGTTGTATTATTTAAAACTGATCATTCAAAAATCATGCCATAGTAGGTTATACTTCTGATGATTAGCACAATATCTTACATTTGTGCAAATTTAGAATACAGGATAGATACTATAGAAAGAGGCAGTCTGGTGTCTTGGAAAGAGTACAGCTATTAGCATCAGGTTGCCTGGGTTCAGGTTTTAGATTTAATGATCAGAAGCTGGGTTGACGATGAACAAGCTGTTTGATCTTTCTGTTCTTTAGTTTCTTCAAAATGTTACAAAATGATTACTTCCCTCAAAAGGTTGTTGTGAGAATAAATGGTATAACATATAATGTTCTTAGAACAACAGGACCTTGTACATAATAAGCATTCAATAAATGTTGACTGTTATAAAACATTTTGACTTTTCTTCTGGACCATAATCAGACTTTAGCAGTTAATTTTTCCAAATGGTATTGCTAATTAAATTAGAACAGTATTTTTAGTCTTGAAAACATTTTTAGTAGATAGTTTATGGTTTTCAGTACTGAGTTCCAATTTCAGCTCTGCCATTAACTGTTATACAACCAAGGTCACTTAACATTTTGGTTTTAATTTCTTTACTTGCAAAGTGAAAAATGACTAAACAATCTAGCTCAATATTCTAGTAACCTAAGGCAGAGAGACTGGCATTTTTTTTTTTTTTTTGGAAAGGGCTAGAGAATAAATATTTTAGTTTTTGTAAGCCAAGCAGCAAAACTGAAGATATTATGTATTATGCAAATACTTATGTGGCCATTAATATGTAATTATTTTTAAATGTCAAAACCATTATTAGCTCTTAGGCCGTATGAAAACAGGGGATGGGCAAGATACGGCCTATAGGCCGTATCTTGCCCACCCCTGACCAAGAAGGAAACAGAACTGGTGTGTTATGTGCTAGTACAAACATCATTCATTCTTAGTTACGATAACTGAGAATTTGTCCATCTTTTTCTATATCAGCATATACCTTTTTTTCCAGGTCAGCCTTCTTTTGTTTATTTAATTCAAGTGTGTCTTGAAGCCTCGCCAGCTTGTCCTGAACTTCCTTAAGGGCTGCCTGCTTCTTTCTAAGACCATCCATGGCAATTTTAAGCTCCCCTTCAGCTGCAGCCAGTTTTATCTTTTTGGGAGCTACTATTTTTGCCACTCTGCAAGAAGTAAAATTGAAAAATTAAATATTCATTTAATATTCCAGCAGACTTTCTACCGCTAAATTTACTTTTCTAATATCCTTACTATGACTCAAAACACTTCTTTGTGCAAAACTCTAAACTGATTTCTATGTTCTATGTTTTATCTAAGAACCAACGAAACTTGATCCTGAACACAAGAAATGGCCATTAAAATCGACAAACACACAATATTTTCACATGATTTTTTTACTCAAAGAAAATTTTGCCAGTATGAATTTTGATAACTTTCCAACAGGAGAGTAGGATATTCATGTCGAATATTACAATGCTAGTAGAAGTCTAAATGGTTTAAGGTTAGTTTTGATGAGGAGAAAGTGAGGTATCCTTTATTTCTGTCATTTTACTTAAAAAAAAATCCTAGAATACCTCCTCAACCAAAAACAGTTATCCTATAAATATATATATGGTAATAAAAGGAATTATACAGGAAAAAAGATGAACCAAAATTCTCTCCCTAGTATCTGGAAAATGGAGTTAGCCATGTTATCTATCTAACAAACATTAAATTTATCATCAACTAGTATATCATGGTCAGAAACATATATATATATATGTCTACTATATATGTAGAATGATTAAAATTGGATATGAGTTTGAAAAATAACCTGTGACAGTTGTTTTTTGAAAAAATAATAATTACTCTGTTTTATATATAACAGATTCTCATATAATCACCAAAAAAGGCTCCTCATTTCACAAGAATACATATTATGCCAGTGGTTTTTAAAGTGTGGTCCAAGGACCCTTGGGGCTCCTGAACACACCTGCCCCTTCAGGGAGTTTACGAGGTCCTTCCTTGTTCAACTAAACATCTGTGTGATGGTAGACTATTAAAAATATACTTTAATCAAAACAACGTACTGCAAAAGAAGAAGCAGATTTTGGTGTCTGGCTATCTTACATTATAAAAGGTCTTATAAAGGTATAATAAAATACCACTCGTCATCATTATTTTTTTCTCTTTTTTAAAGAACATGTAAATTCTAAAAAATAAAAAGAAGTCACATATTAACATACAACATTTTTATTGCTTTTAAAAATGAATAAACTGAAAATTTTTTTCCATTTTAATTTCTAATATGGTAAATAAACAAAATCTTTTTGGAGTCTTCAATAATTTTGAAGAGTATAAACGGTTCCTGAGTCCAAAAAGTTAAAGAACCACTGTATTATTCTATTAGTTGTTATAACCTTGCCTCCAGTAAATATGCAAACACAAAGCAGATTCAGATAGGATTTTCCAAAAAGCCTCTCACTTACATAACTTTTAAGTTTTATATTGTTTAACTGACTTAAGAGAAGATAAAATACACAAGCTGGGTTTCTTATCAGCACTTACTTATCATAGGAATCCATTGCTATGACCCATTTGCACAGACCTTCGGCTGCTGTAGAAGCATTTCTGATTTTTTCTGGCACAAAATCTGGATTTGGAATATAATTTTTTCTTATGATAGTCATATAAGCTGGAGGAATACTGTCCTTGTCATATTCATGAAGTGACTGTAGAAACCTCATGTCACCAAGAAGTCTCTTAGCTGGGCCCCAGAAATCCTCAATTTTTTTCCCTGAACCTGTTGGGTCAGGGATTTTGTCAGCTTTGATTCCTTTCAAGATGCATATAGCTTCCATAACAAGCTTGACACCAGCAGGAGGACTCTTCATGGATTTTACCACTGTAATATCCTTGAAATAACATGTTAATTATTTTAAAAGACATGTTTGTTTCTACAGTAATTGTAATTGGCTCCTATTTTCAAACTAAGCATAGAGAGGCTCACCCTGTTCACTGAATAGAAATGATGACAGTAACAGAACTGCACTGGTACTCTTCTCTTGAGTCCAAACCAAAAGTTTAGCCAAAATTCTCCATACTATTTTTAAAAATCTATCTTTGTCTTTCTAAATTAAAATATTCCTCCTTCACACCTTAACTTTTAGTATACTTCATCAAATCTAAGACATGCTATTGTAAAATAATTATAAAGCACATCATTTTATGTATACCCCCCAAAAAATCACTGACCAAATTAACACAATACTTTATCACATCCTCTATAAGATGTATCCCAATGGCAAGACTGTCTAAACATAAAAAGGGTACCCCTTAGAATCAAAATATAACCTTGAGTCTTATTGATTACTGTTGATTACTGTAGTGCAAAGATGTATAAAGTTCTTGAAATAACTGTTGCTTTATGGTAGGTTATAACAACCTGGCAGCCTTCTTCCTATTCAAGGGTGTTTTTGCATGCACATGTATTACTTTTTCAGGTCAATTAGGTAATTCTTTTGCCAATCTCAAAATCATTTCAACTTCATTAATCTTGCAGGCTAATTTGGAGAGATAAACTAGACTAGAACACAATGCTAATTTCTTTCTTGGGCTAGAAAGTATGTGAGAAAGCTCTTACCTGTGCAGTAAGAGTATCAAGGGCGGCCAGCGCTGACTCCAATATTGGCAAGGCACCTGCCAGGTCAGCATCACATTCATCTTTGATAGCTTTGGAAGCCATAGCTTGTTCGTTTGCTATTGCTTCATCAGCTTTCACTATTTTTTCAGTTTTGGCAACTTCTATAGAGTCTTTCTCAATCATTATCATCATTTCATCAACCTCTTTGCTGGCAACTTTTAACTGAGGTTGTAGTGCCTCCAACTCAGACTGCATTGTTGCTACTTGAGATGAAGCAGAATCCAATTTCTCCAAACCCACTTCATATCTCTTTTTCATTTTCATTACTTCACTGAAAGCAAATAGATAAAATGAAGTTAATAATGAGGCTCTGTATCCTACATTAAGGAAATATTTAAGTGTTTTTGAGCTTTCTAGGCTTTTTCCAAGGCATAACTAGGGAAGTGGTCTAAAATATTTTCATATATATGAACAATCTGTCAAAACACGAACCCTACAACATTGGATTGTGCACAATTAAGAGCAGATAGCATGTTTTATTCATTTTTGTGTTTTCAGTACCTATACATTATCAAGGCATGCAACAGAAATTCAAAAAGATAAACACACGGGGATGAGGCAAGGAGACTCCTGTATCAAAATGAATCACATACCTCTAAAGTTGGTAAGCTGATTCCAGCAATACTACTGCTGCTTTAAACCTTTTTATGATCACTTAAGCACACATCAGTGCTCAAAATATATTATTTTGAATGTTTCCAAATGTGAAAAAAATGATTTTAACATGTATTATACATCTTGAAATAGGGATTTTTTATTAAAGCAAAAGTAACATATAGAACAGATCATAAAGCTCAATACCCTGTTTGGTGCAAAATGATTATAAAGCAGTAATAAATGATTAGAAATAATGCAATATTTTAGCATACTTTATAAGTTTAACATTTTATTATACTTAAAAATGCTATTTGCATTTATCTGCAAATATATATTTATTTCTCTATAGAGAAAACTCTTCTTTGTAATTTCAATTTAAAATACTTGATATGGGGGAGGACTCAAGATGGCGCTGTGAGAACAACCCAGGATTGGAGCTCTCGTTGAATCCGCAAACAGGTGAGTCGGAGCTGCATTTCCAGACTGATCTTTGTTGCCCACAGAACGGGAAACTCCCAAGTATATAAAAGACACTGGACGCCAGGCAGTAGGTCTGCCTGGTGAAGCCGGCAGCCGGGGCGGTGGCGGCCGACCCTACCCAGCAATCCCCACAGGGCGCGCTTGTCCGGGTGCCCTGTTGAACTGGCAACCTGAGACTTGAGAGGGCTGGACTTGAGACTGAACGAGACTTGGACAGTAGGCAAGCCCAGGGGATTGCAGGGACAGATCGTTTGGGATACCCAGCGGGACGAACAAAACCGCGATTTCAAACTATCCCAAGCAGATGGTCCGAGACGCTCTGTGGGGGAGGGGCGTCCACCACTACCGAGGCAACCCGCCCCAACTGAGATACACGCCCACTGCTGACGCAGCTAGCCGTTGCCGAGGCAACCCGTCCCTACTGAGATACACGCCCACTGCTGACGCAGCCTTCCGTTGCCGAGGCAACCCGTCCCTACTGAGATACACGCCCACTGCTGACGTAGCCTGCCGTTGCTGAGGCAACATGCTACAAGGAAGAGACTCCGCCGCAGGGCGTGGTGGAGACCACAGCAGAGCCTGCAGGAACAGGGCGAATCACGCAACAGCAGGGCGGAGCCTCGGCAGGCAAAAAGTGGCTAGTCTGCCTTCTAGCTGGGCAGGACACCTCAACGGACATCGAAAAATAAAGGCTGAACCCCCCAACACAGAGCATTTGAGAAAAAAAGCGTTTTTTTAAATGAGCTCTGTTGCAGCAGAATCAAACATAGCAGCCTAACAGCCCTGAATGAACAACAGAGCTCACAGCTCAGCACTTGAGCTCCTACAAAGTACAGACTGTCTCCTCAAGCAGCTCCCTGACCCCTCTATATCCAAAAGACTGACATTTGGCAACCATCATCCTGGGACAAAGATAGCAGAAAAAGAAACGGGTAGCATCCCTCACTGGGCCACAGCTGCTAGAGGTGCACCCCAGACAAGCAGCGCCTGGAGTGGACCTCAGCAGTCATATAGCGATGGGGCTAGGCTGGTAGAAGGAAAACCAAGTAACAGAAATACTTCATCATCAACAATCTGGGTGTCCACTCTGAGACCAAATCGAAAAGTCAGCAACTACGCAGACAACAAGCGGATAAACACACAAAGATGGGAAGAAACCAGCAAAAAAGGAGGAAAACACCCAAAACCAGAACACCTCGCCTCCTAGAAAGGACCAAAACTCCTCACCAGCAAGGGAGCAAAGCTGGATGGAGAATGACTGTGACGAAATGACGAAATTAGACTTCAGAAGGTGGATAATGAGAAACTTTTGTGAGCTAAAAGAACATGTATTAAATCAATGCAAAGAAACTAAGGAACTTAAAAAAAGATATGAGGAAATGATAACAAGAATGGATACCTTAGAGAGGAATATGAATGAATTAAAGGAGCTGAAAAACACAATACGAGAACTTCGCGAAGCATACACAAGTTTCAATAGCCGAATTGACCAAGCAGAAGAAAGAATATCTGAAGTCAAAGACCAACTCAATGAAATTAAACGAGAAACCAAGACTAGAGAAAAAAGCGCAAAAAGGAATGAACAAAGTCTCCAAGAAATGTGGGACTATGTGAAAAGACCTAACCTACGTTTGATAGGTGTACCAGAAGGGGACGAAGAGAATGAATCCAAGCTGAAAAATACTCTTCAGGACATCATCCAGGAAAACTTCCCCCACCTAGCAAGACAGGCCAACACTCAAATGCAGGAAATACAGAGAACACCACAAAGATATTCTGCAAGAAGAGCAACCCCAAGGCACATAATCATCAGATTCAACAAGGTTGAAATAAAGGAGAAAATACTAAGGGCAGCCAGAGAGAAAGGTCGAGTTACCCACAAAGGGAAGCCCATCAGACTCACAGCAGATCTCTCGGCAGAAACACTACAAGCCAGAAGAGAGTGGGGGCCAATATTCAACATTCTTAAAGAAAAGAACTTTCAACCCAGAATTTCATATCCAGCCAAACTGAGCTTCAGAAGTGAAGGAAAAATAAAATCCTTTGCGAACAAGCAAGTACTCAGAGATTTTGTCACCACCAGGCCAGCTTTACAAGAGCTCCTAAAAGAGGCACTACACATAGAAAGGAACAACCAGTACCAGCCATTCCAAAATCACACTAAAAGTTAAAGAGCATCAACATAATGAAGAATCTACAACAACTAACAGGCAAAACAGCCACTTAGCATCAAAATGGCAGTATCAAATTCACACATAACAATATTAACCCTAAATGTAAATGGACTAAATGCACCAATCAAAAGACACAGACTGGCAAATTGGATAAAAATCTAAAACCCATCAGTGTGCTGTATCCAGGAAACCCATCTCACATGCAAGGATACACAAAGGCTCAAAATAAAGGGATGGAGGAAGATTTACCAAGCAAATGGAGAGCAAAAAAAAGCAGGAGTTGTGATCTCATCTCTGATAAAATAGACTTTAAAGCAACAAAGATCAAAAGAGACAAAGAAGGCCATTACATAATGCTAAAAGGATCGATACAACAAGAAGAGCAAACGATCCTAAACATATATGGACCCAATGCAGGAGCACCCAGATACATAAGGCAAGTTCTTAATGACTTACAAAGAGACATAGACTCCCACACACTAATAGTGGGAGACTTTAACACTCCACTGTCAATATTAGACAGATCAACCAGACAGAAAATCAACAAGGATATCCAGGGCTTGAACTCAGACCTGGAGCAAGCAAACCTGATAGACATTTACAGAACTCTCCACCCCAAATCCACAGAATATACATTCTTCTCAGCACCACATCACACCTACTCTAAAATTGACCACATAATTGGAAGTAAAGCACTGCTCAACAAATGCTAAACAACTGAATTCATAACAAACAGCCTCTCAGACCATAGTGCAATCAAGTTAGAACTCAGAATAGAGAAACCAACCCAGAACCGCACAGCTTCATGGAAACTGAACAACCGGCTCTTGAATGTTGACTGGATAAACAACGAAATAAAGGCAGAAATAAAGAAGTTCTTCGAAACCAATGAGAACGAAGATACAACATGCTAGAACCTCTGGGACACATTTAAAGCAGTCTCTAGAGGAAAGTATATAGCAATAAGTGGCCATATGAGAAGAATGGAGAGATACAAAATTGACACCCTATCATCAAAATTGAAAGAGCTAGAGGACCAAGATCAAAAAAACTCAAAACCCAGCAGAAGACAAGAAATAACTAAGATCAGAGCTGAACTGAAGGAGACTGAGACACAAAAAACCCTTCAAAAAATCAATAAATCCAAGAGCTGTTTTTTGAAAAGATCAACAAAATAGACAGACCACTAGCCAGATTGATTAAAAAGAAAAGAGAGAACAACCAAATAGATGCAATAAAAAATGATAAAGGGGAAATCACCACAGATTCCACAGAAATTCAAACCATCATCAGAGAATATTACAAACAACTCTATGCAGATAAACTAGTAAACCTGTAAGAAATGGATAAATTCCTGGACTCCTGTGTCCTCCCAAGCCTAAACCAGGAGGAAGCTGAAACTATGAATAGACCGATAACAAGGTCAGAAGTTGAGGCAGCAATTAAGAGCCTACCACACAAAAAAAGCCCAGGTCCAGACGGGTTCACAGCCGAATTCTACCAGACACACAAAGAGGAGCTGGTACCATGCCTTCTAAAACCATTTCAAACAATCCAAAAAGAGGGAATACTTCCCAAATCATTTTACGAGACCAACATCATCCTGATACCAAAACCCGGCAGAGACCCAACAAGAAAAGAAAACTTCAGGCCAATATCCATGATGAACATAGATGCAAAAATCTTCAATAAAATATTGGCAAGCTGATTGCAACAGCAAATCAAAAAACTTATTCACCATGATCAAGTAGGATTCATCCCGGGGATGCAAGGCTGGTTCAACATACGCAAGTCTATCAACGTAATTCACCACATAAACAGAAACAAAAACAAAAACCACATGATTATCTCAATTGACGCAGAGAAGGCATTTGACAAAATTCAACAGCCCTTTATGCTAAAAACCTTCAATAAACTCGGTATCGATGGAACGTATCTCAAAGTAATAAAAGCTATTTATGACAAACCAACAGCCAATATCATACTGAATGGGCAAAAACTGGAAGCATTCCCTTTGAAATCCGGCACTAGACAAGGATGCCCTCTTTCACCAATCCTATTCAATATAGTTCTGGAAGTTCTAGCCAGAGCAATCAGGCAAGAAAAAGAAATAAAGGGTATTCAAATAGGAAAGGTGGAAGCCAAATTGTCTCTATTTGCAGATGACATGATAGTATACCTAGAAGACCCCATCACCTCAGCCGAAAAACTCCTGAAACTGATAAGCAATTTCAGCAAAGTCTCAGGATATAAAATCAATGTGCAAAAATCACAAGCATTCGTCTACACCAATAACAGACTTAAAGAAAGCCAAATCAAGAATGAACTGCCATTCACAATTGCTAGAAAAAGAATAAAATACCTTGGAAAACAACTCACAAGGAACGTAAGGGACCTCTTCAAGGAGAACTACAAACCACTGTTCAACGAAATCAGAGAGGACACAAACAGATGGAGAAACATTCCATGTTCATGGTTAGGAAGAATTAATATCGTGAAAATGGCTATACTGCCCAAAGTAATTTACAGAATCAACGCTATCCCCATCAAGCTACCATTGACTTTCTTCACAGAACTGGAAAAAACCACCATGAACTTCATATGGAACCAAAAGAGAGCCCGCATAGCCAAGTCAATTTTAAGCAAAAAGAACACAGCGGGGGGCATCACACTACCGGATTTCAAACTATACTGCAAGGCTACAGTAATCAAAACAGCATGGTACTGGTACCAAAACAGAGATATAGACCAATGGAACAAAACAGAGGCACTGGAGGCAACACAACAGATCTACAACTATACAATCTTTGATAAACCCGACAAAAACAAGCAAGGGGGAAAGGATTCCCTGTTTAACAAATGGTGTTGGGAAAACTGGCTAGCCATGTGCAGAAAGCAGAAACTGGACCCCTTCCTGACACCTTACACTAAAATTAACTCCAGATGGATTAAAGACTTAAACATAAGACCTGGCACCATAAAAACCCTAGAAGGAAATCTAGGCAAAACTATCCAGGACATAGGAGTAGGCAAGGACTTTATGAACAAAACACCAAAAGCATTGGCAACAAAAGCCAAAATAGACAAATGGGACCTAATGAAACTCCACAGCTTCTGCACGACAAAAGAAACAGTCACTAGAGTGAATCGGCAACCAACAGAATGGGAAAAAATGTTTGCAGTTTACCCATCTGACAAAGGGCTGATATCCAGAATTTACAAAGAACTCAAACAGATTTACAGGAAAAAAACAAACAAGCCCATTCAAAAGTGGGCAAAGGATATGAACAGACACTTTATGAAAGAAGACATATATGAGGCCAACAATCATATGAAAAAACGCTCATCATCACTGGTCATCAGAGAGATGCAAATCAAAACCACATTGAGATACCATCTCATGCCAGTTAGAATGGCAATCATTAAAAAATCTGGAGACAACAGATGCTGGAGAGGATGTGGAGAAAGGGAACACTTTTACACTGTTGGTGGGAGTGTAAATTAGTTCAACCATTGTGGAAGACAGTGTGGCGATTCCTCAAGGCCTTAGAAATAGAAATTCCATTTAACCCAGCATTCCCATTACTGGGTATATATCCAAAAGAATATAAATCGTTCTACTATAAGGACACATGTACACGAATGTTCATTGCAGCACTGTTTACAATAGCAAAGACCTGGAATCAACCAAAATGCCCATTTATAATAGATTGGATTGGGAAAATGTGGCACATATACACCATGGAATATTATGCAGCAATCAGAAATGATGAGTTTGTGTCGTTTGTAGGGACATGGATGAATCTGGAGAACGTCATCCTCAGCAAACTGACACAAGAACAGAAAATGAAACACCACATATTCTCACTCATAGGTGGGTGATGAAAAATGAGAACACATGGACACAGAGAGGGGAGTACTAAACACTGGGGTCTATTGGGGGGAAAAGTGGAGGGCCAGTGGGAGGGGGAGGTGGGAAGGGATAGCCTGGGGAGAAATGCCAAATGTGGGTGAAGGGGAGAAGGAAAGAAAAGCACACTGCCATGTGTGTTCCTACGCAACTGTCTTACATGCTCTGCTCATGTACCCCCAAACCTAAAATCCAATAAAAATAAAAATAAAAATAAAATAAAATACTTGATATAACATAATGTCTCCAAGTAAAAAACGACATGGTCTTAAAAATCCACTTCAAAAAACAGATTGTAGTAATGAGATGGAAAAGGTAACCTGGAGAACACTGAAAAGATTGTAATTTTTTCCAAAAAAATTTTTTGAAAGCATACCATGTTTTTGTCACATGTTGAATTCCCTCTGAGAGAGCAAAATATTTTATGGTAATGGGAACAGAGGGGACCAACTGTATGGCACTGTATTATCTGTGAGTTTGGTTTCAGTTGAAACCTCATACAACAAGCATGGAAAAGGTCTCATTTCTGCCAGCCTGAGACAGTTTCAATATTGTGGCTCATCCCATGTGACCCTTTGCTAGCTTAACCATAGATTTCCTGGCAGGTAACCTGAAAACTTGCTTCTAGGTTACAACACTAGCTGGCTATCAAGATGTGAAGGCTTTAGCTATCATGGGAAGAATAATCACAGGGCAGGAATTCTCGTTGAGGTAAAGGAGAAATTAATATCTATTTTTTTTACTTTGCAAAGAATTTTTAAAAGAAAAACATTTGAAAAAGGAAAATTTCAAAGGCAAATAAGAATATTTGAAAATGCCTTAAAAACTATGACTCTTTCAACCTGTAAGTTTGAACTTATATGATTGTGACTTCAAAACTTATAACCAGTCTGTTTAAATTCTTCGTATAAGTTTGTATCTCATTTTTATAATCCTTCTTCTTATTAGATGGCCTTACTATTGTGAGTGTATAATCAAACAAAAGCCATGAGCAACATCCAAAATTTAATCATTCTCTAAGAGCTTTTGATCTCCTGGATAAGAAAATATCAAAAAAGCAAGATGCCATTATGTTAAAGATCATAAGCTCTACACAGAAAGACAATTATGTTGAGAGCCAAAGAAATAATGAATTCCAGCCAAGTTATGCAGCAGTCACCGTGGGAGTTGCAGATTTCATTAGATAGTTGAAAAATTCCTAATGGTATGATTCAAACACAGGGTTATAGACCACAGTGATGACAACAGTCCTGCCTGGGAGGGCACAGCAATAGTCACTATGAATACAGATGAGGAGTGTCATATCCGTATCTAGGTAACATGCTGCCCAATATGAGAAAAGGTGCTTCAAAATGCTTGAGATAGTGGGTTAGCCACAGAAAGATTTAGAATTAACCATAGAAATATGTACAAAAATCAAACTCATAGTATTAGCATATTTATATTATCTGTGTACATTTGTTGTTTTATGTATTCTTTTTAATCTTTAAAAGAATTTGGTCTGTTCAATTCATGGGTCAGGGTTGAAATTCCAATATAAATCATGTGACTGAGCAATAAATTTGCATTTGAGTTGTTAAGTAGAAATCAGATTTATAGATAATATTCAAACATTTAAAAGTACTTAAGGCTTACCATATGTATACATTAAAAAAACTAGACTTATAAATTATTTAAGTATCTAGTAATGTTTGATTTGTTAAATCAGAACTTAAAAGGGAAATATAAATATCTCATTAAAAATTTTATCTAAACAAGCTTTTGAATGGAGCCATACAATAATCCAAGGTCCCCTTTAAAGGTAACCACTAAAATTTTCCGAACTTCCTCCTGTCTAGCTTAATGTTATGATGTTTTTAAATTTTGTAGTATACATACTTAATTTCAATTTTTAGACCCAAGGAAATATTTGAATAAACTTTCATGCACACCAAAAGTCACCCTCACGAACATTAAAAAAACTCACATTGACATTTTCTATAGCACACAAATTTACTCATGTTTATATTGATGTTTTCAAATGAGAGTTTATTAGAGAGTAGCTGTCCCTCCCTAGAGTCTCAGCTGTTCAGTATCCAAAGGGAGGGTTTAACTATTATCTAATTATTTATCAGAGAAAACTCACTCTCTAGTAGTGTTTACTCAATATTCAGAGCTCTGGTTGGAATATCTTCATTCTTCCAAGGGTGATTATGCATCTACAATGTGCTAGGCAATGTGCCCATACGAGAAGGATGAGACCCCTCCCTATACTCAAAATGTTTGTGGATTAAATTATTTAAAGATGTAACAAAACTCACAGTATATTTCTATGAAATAAACCCCTATGACATCATATTTATGTCATTTTTGCACACATAAATATTTTTAATTCTCTGTAGCTTACTTAGAAATATGAAATTTCATTTTTACCTTCTTTTCTTTTCTAACAATAATTTGAAGGTGGAGATTAATTCGAGGTAAGAGGTAGGAGTCACATAATTGTGTCTTTGAAGTTCAACAAAGAAAGATTTTGATAAATTTATAGTAGAAGTGTGGAAGCTTTTACACATGTCGATACAGCCATCTCGTATTTCCTCTGACATTTCAATTTCTTCCAGGAATCGTGAGGCAACTGCCTGGAGTGCATCTTCAGGCCATGACTAAATTTAAGATAAATGCTTTAGCACTTTATTAAGATTACAAATCTGAATTTTTTACTACTGCAGCCCTTTACAACTTACGGATGTTGGGGGTGAGGAGAATAGTGTGGGTGAAGGGGAATAGTGTGACGGAAGGGGTGGGAGAGACAATTTCATAAGGAAATTTCCCAAGGACCTGCATACTTAGGACAGGGAGCCAGGAGCTAGTTAGTGCATATAACATTCACTGTCTGTGGTTTGTTCTGAGTTAGATAAACTATTCATGAGTGCTGCAGGAGAAAGGAATGGCAGAGGAACTAAGTTTACGGAATATCTACTTCTGTATGCATTTTACCAGTATTATCTCATTCAATTCTCCTGAGAATGATGTAGGCAGCATTCTTGAAATAGCTTTCAAATCCTTTCTCTTCTTTATCTACCTCAATCATCCCAATTCAAGCCTCCACTATCATCTGCCTGCAAGATTCCAATAGCATCCTAACTGCTTGCATTCTCTACAGAGCTGAAAGAATGATTTTTTCAAAATACAAATTAGCTCATATTATATTCCCCAATTTATAACCATTCAAAGACTTCCCAGGATTCTTGAAGTAAAATCCAAACCAACTTGCCATTCTCTATCTGATTTGTCCCTTCCTCTATTTCTTACCTGTTATACCACTTTCCCCCACAGTTCCTATGCTCCTGTCACCCTGACTTTCTGCCATGCTCTCCTTTCTTCTGTCTAGCCACTTGACTTCACTAGTTTATCCTCTGTGTCCACATCTCAGTACTGACATGTTTTTGTATTTCCAGTTTCCTCTTCAAACACTTAATTGGTCCCTTATTTAAAAAGCATTTACCTGTAATCCCAGCACTTTGGGAGGCCAAGGAGGGCAGATCACCTAAGCTCAGGAGTTCAAGACCAGCCTGGCCAACATGGTGAAACTCCGTCTCTACTAAAAATACAAAAATTAGCCAGGTGTGGTGGCAGGCGCCTTTAATCCCAGCTACTTGGGAGGCTGAGGCAGGAGAATCGCTTGAACCCAGGAGGCAGAGTTTGCAATGAGTTAAGATTGTGCCACTGCACTCCAGCCTGGGTGGCAAGAGTGAGACCGTATTTCAAAACAACAACAACAACAAAGCATTTACTCCCTATATGCTACCCTGTCTGATGAAATTATGTGTTGCTTATTTGTCTGTAGACAGGAAGCTCAAGGAGAACAGAGGTCTTGTCTATTTCATTTGCTTTATCTCCAGCTTTTAGATTAAGAACTGCTACAAAGCAAAACAGAATTCAATAAATGTTTTGCATGAAATAATTAATTTTACCAGGAAGTAGAGGTACAAAGAGGTTCTATAAATTTTCTAAGGTCATAAATGCTTATCTGTTAGATCCACTCACAGGATCTTAGCCACAGCCCACAGATTTCTTACTACATGGGCAGAGAATGCATTGTGACACACTGTTGAAGCTAGATGGGAGAATTAAACTAATATCCACATCTAACTATTCTTCCTTTGCTGCTCCTCTTCCCCACCCCTCGTCCCCACCCCACCATCCACTTGCTGCCTTTGTCTGCTCTGCTCTGTCCTTCCCAGTACTGAGATCCACTACAAAAAAGATCACTCTGGCTTTCTTCCTCTTAATTTCTTTGGGTTTAGCTAAAGGAAAGAGATTGGGGTGGGGGGTGGAAGTGATAAAGAAGTGAGACATAGGGGTATTTAAATCCTCCCTTCCTTTCTAGCAGTAGCTGAGTTCTACGTTTCTGGTTCTTGCTCCTGTTGGGCAGTCTTATGTTCACAGCTTGAAGCTCTGAGTTCCAGTAACACTCTTTCCTTCCTCTGCCCTTTTATACCCAGGTATAGTAACACTTCCTGCTATTGCTCCACCCTCCACTTCCAGAGTGTTCCAACATCCCCTCTTTGCTCCCTTAATCCTGCCTATGCCTCTATGAACAGTTCCTTCATTATGGTTTCTTCAGTGAAGGGTTCAAGCGTGCTCTGTGTTTCTTGTCAGGACTCTGATACACAAATTTATCGTAACACTTCCTATAATATGCTGAAGTTAGTGATCACATATACTCTTAATAAATACTTTTCTATTATGATGATTTCTTGATTATAATTTCATAAAATACATTATAACTGATCAGAAGATTCTGCTAAACTACATTTTCGGGTGGTTGGGAGTCTATAAAATAAGTCACAATGAGGACAGAAATTCAATATTCCTAGAAGTCTATCTACAATACACATGAAGATACCTGAAACCAGTCAATGGTACAGCAATTAACAAGAGCAGGGAACTTCCTTAGACGATTCCGAAATGCATCTCCAATGGGACTCATGGCAAGGACCACATGCAGTTGGTTGCGGCAACGATCAATAAACATGTTGAAAAGGGCTATGGGGCTGCCATCTGTTTGCTTGCTTTTATCCCGCTGGCGATCTAAGTGACGCATCTTATCATATATCTCTTGCTTCTCATCTAATGCAAAGAGATTTGGAATCTCCCCAGCATTTAGCAGATTATTGACATCTTCCAGAAATGACTCTTTTTTAATCTGAGTATCTGTAAACAGGAAGACACCCTGCATCTCACCTTCCGCACATTTCCTTAAGATTACTTTTAAATCTTCATGCCATTCAGTAATACCATATCCCTTAGAGATTTCAACTCGGAAAACTGAATAATCAGCCATGTGGGCAGCTAATCTGGTGACAGACTGCCTTCCACTCCCTCCAACCCCTATTAGGAGAGCATGGCTGCGAGGCTGCTTCAGGATCCTGGAAATTCTGCTGATGTGCTCTATAGCAAATCGAAACAAGACAAGGTTCATGGGTTTTTTGCTTATATTGTTATATTCTTCTAGTTGAATTTCTACTATTGTTCGAAGACTATCCACATCTGTGACTTCTCTGTAGTTGGTATCTTCCCTCTTGGGATCATGGAAATCACAAAACATTAAGCTGCGTAAGTCATCTTCTTCCACTATTCCATCATTATCAAAATCCAAATGTTGAAAAAGCTCATGAAAATTTTCATGCATGTAGTTTTTCAAAATTTCTTGAATACAGTTGATGAGCCAGCTTCTGTCTGCACTGTCCAGAAGGCGGTCATAATATACTCGAAGGACCTGTATAATAATTAAAAAGCAGCTTTAGGAACTGACTTTCTTCTGATTTTTTAAAAAAGTGTTATTATTTCTGTGCTAATCTCAACTAATAAAAAATATTCTTAGAAAATTTCTGTGGGTTTTATTGAAAGTTTATCCAAATAATCAGGACTCATTTATAATAATGTTATTTTAAATGTTAATTTTGACCATATATTTAGAATAATAAGGTTATATTCAGTTACCAATCAATGAAAGGTAATTTTGGGGGTGGGAGCTGAAGTAGATATAGAGATGCTAAGAGAATGAAGGCCTTGAGAAGGGAGTGACTGCCTTTGCTGGTCGCTCAGATGGGAATAGCAGAGCTGGGCACCAGTATCCAGGGATTCCCAACTCCTTTTCAGTGAAGTTTCCTTTTTCTAAGATAGATAACATTTTGAAAGTTATTGACAAATCCATAGGTTTTTGTTTTTTTTAAAAAAGCACATTTTATAGAAAAGGAAATGTCTTGGGTAGAGGGAGAGTTGTTTGGGATATCTGTTAATTATTTTTGGTTTAGGTCATTACAAAGAACAATCTATTAAAATAAATCTCTGGTTATATGCACATGTTATGGGACAGTAAGAAACAGTCAGGCTTGCTCCATGTAACAGCTGCTTTCTTAAAGCAATACAAGTGTCCCAAGGGTATGGTCTATTTTGGACTGAATTATGTCCCCCCAAAATTCTTATGTTAAAGTCATAACTCTCAATGTGACTGAATTTGGGAAGAGGGCCTTTATGGAGGCAATTAAGGTTGAATGAGGTCATAAAGGTAGGGCCCTAAAACTATAGGATAGTGTCTTTGTAAGAAGAGGAAGAGGCACTAAAGTTTGCGCATTCTGTCTCTCTGGTTCTTGTTCCTGTTGGGCAGCCCTTCTATGCACAGAAGAAGGGCCATGTGAGGACACAGAGACAAGGTGGCTTTAGCAAGCCAGCATGAGAAAATACATTTCTTTTGTTTAAGCCACTATATTTGTACAGTAATACTACAAAAATAAGTAATGTAGAAAAAATACCCACATTCATTTCTTACAAAAACATCTCCTTAAAAAGTGTTGCATTTCAAATGTATTTGAAGTGAAACTAATAAGGATTAAACTACTTAAGGGAAACTGGCTTAAAGTGATACCTACTTCGAAATAGTCTATAAATCAACAGAAATTCTTAAATCTGAACATGGGAGATAAAACATTTTCAACATCATAAAATATTTAAAAATTTTTTCTTGAACATATTGGCCTTCAAAATGCCAAATAACTGAATACATTTCAGCAATACAAATCGTGGAATATTTCCGTTTACCCAGTTGGTGGCATGGTAAATCTTTCTCACATAATCCCATTTCAGTAACAGGAAAATTTACCTCATGAACCCAAAGACGTTTAATTGCTTCGGTGGTTTCTGCTGTTTCTGGTCTTGACAAACACACGCCTTGAATGACACGGGAGAAATCACGGAGGCTGAACAAGTAATGAGATTTAGCTGGAGTAGGCAAAAGATTCTTCATTGCTTCTTTATACAGAGTCATTGTGCCATTTACGATTTGCGTGGTCAAATCTAGAAATTCATCTGGAAATTTGTAACTTAAAAAATTTTTAAATAAAAAGAAAGGAAAATGTTAGCAATTATAAAATTATGAATATAAAGGATATTTAGCAGGACCAACATAAAATTTTATTTTTGATTAAATCAATTTCATTATTAAAATTATCATATCTTATAATAATAGATTTTTACTCCTTTTATAGATATTTTCCATTTACTATTTTACGATATGTCCAAAATAATCCTGTGAAATGAGCAGGGCCCAGTGTAATGGACTTAAAACCACTTAAGTGAACAGAATAGACAGCCAAGGAACCCTGATTACATAATCCCAAATCCACCAGACAAGCATTTCCCAACCTCTTCCACCCTGACATTCTCAACTGCATATCAAGATAATCCATAAGCAACACTGGTGAAACAAGTATTTTCAGAGGGGAAAAAAAGGAGGAAAATAATATATATAAAATAAGGAGAAGAGAAAAAAGGAAAGTAAAAAAGTGAACCAAGACAAAGTGCATGGCTAGGGTATAAAGGACACAGAGAAGCAATTTAGAAAGACTACCTATATTCAACTTCTGGTTTGTCAAGGAAGCAGCTGTCTACTCCATCATCACTGGATAAAGCAAGGAACTACAATTTCTTGAGAATGGGCATGGGGACACTGACAGACTTCCCCTGCCCAACCCAGCTTGGCTTCCTGATATCTCTGCATCCTGTGGAGTAGCAGACCCTCTACAGTTAGGCAGCTCCAAGGCAATACTTCTCAGACTTGGACATGAACACCCCTGCAGAACTCAAGAGTTCTACTAGAGGGTATCAAAGTCACTGCATAAACTTGATAAATCTTTCCAGCAGTAATTGAACTCAGCAGTGAAAATTCAAAATAATAATTCAGGGAGAAGGAAAGGAAAGAAAAGCACACTGCCATGTGTGTTCCTACGCAACTGTCTTACATGCTCTGCTCATGTACCCCAAAACCTAAAATCCAATAAAAAATTAAAATAATAATAATAATAATAATAATTCAAACATGAACATATGATATAGCAGAATGGTCAGACCTCTTTGTGTTATGCTCCCACACTGGGAGGTGGGAAGAACAGAGGCAAACCATGTTGTCTATTACCTTTTCCTTATCTAGGAATGCTTTTGTTCTTTGAAATATGCTATTTAATATTGGTATGTTTCTAAAATATTTTATACTGTCAGGCCTCCATGCGCAAGCCTGGACCCAGAAAGTCTGAAGTTCTGCCTGCCTCGGCTAATCACCTCTGTCCCACTGTAACTGATCTTACTCCATAACACCCCTGCCCCCTCCCCAAAAGATTTACCCCAACCTACAAAACCAACTCTTATCCCACCGCCCTTCACTGATGCCCTTTTTGGCCTCAGCCCACCTGCAGCCAGGTGAATAAAGAGCCATGTTGCTCACACAAAGCCTGTTTGGGGGTGCCTCTTCATTCAGAGCCCACATTTTAACATATATCTCCTAAAAAAACCCAAATTTTTAATTACTTACCAGGTTTTTAAATGCCAAGTTAAGATTCTGGAGAAGATTGTAAACATGGATTTGTCACTAAACTCATTGATTGTTATAATATTGAAATGTCGCATGTATCGAGGAGTTACTGGATTTCGACCACCACCTAAACATTAAAAAGTGTAACTCTTAATAACGTTACTAGTATATACAAGAGTATTTTCTCAAATATTTTATAGTTTAAAGTAACTTAAAAGATGGACAAATTCACGGCACACGGAGTTAAGAGTAATTAATTGTTTGGATAACCCTGACGTCAAAACTATTTTTCCCTCAAACACAAGGTGTTACTTTCTAGGTGAATTAACTGAATGAGTTCAACTAATTAGACATAATCTTGGGTCAAATCTATATTACTAAGGGAAATCAGACCAGGCAGAAAAAGCCATAGGCCATGTTCTCCATAGTTTACAGCCTAAAGCAATAAATAGTAAACATCCTTAATACAATATTAAGAGGTAATATTACACAATACTAATGTGATCCTGGTGAATCTGATTGACCAAAGTTTAGGGTACTTCCCATAGGCTGGGATTCCGCACAACTATGACATAGAGCCAAATTCTTGCCCCATATTTTGAAATGAATTTGCTCAAAACTAGTCTATACAGTTCATACAGTGACTTCACTGGCGGCTTGCATCTCTAGAAATTGGGGAATTTTCCATAAAATAATGAAAGAGTCTTTTGAGCTTATAAATTTCTTTTGGAAAATGTGAAGGAGTTTAAGGGGTTGGTGAAAAGGTTGCAGAAGAAAAGATGGTGAGATCAACTACCCAGCTCTGTCTCCATTCTAAACGTTCAGAAAATGTTCAGAAATTGTGGTATTTTTAGAAACTAGAAATGGGGTTCAAAAGGAAAAGATACCTCATCGTTTCAGTATACTCTTCTTTCCAATGCCTGAGGAGGCAGGGAACAATGGACATGTGAGTATAAATGCCTGGCTTGGGGTGGTGTGGGAGAAAGAAAGTGGAACTGAAGTCTGAGACCCAGGAACAACATGGTCTTTTATTTAATAAACAAAACAAAACAAAACAAAAAAACAGTCTGAGCATAATAACAAGCCCCCAAGCCCCTGACTCCACAAAATATAAAAACAAAGTAAGCCAGGCATGGTGGTGCATGCCTGTGGTCCTAGCTGCTCAGGAAGCTGAGGTGGGAGGATCACTTGAGCTGAGGAGTTTCAGGCTGCAGTGAGCTATGATCACACCACTGCACCCCACCTAAGCAAGATTGAGACCCTGCCTTAAAAACAAACAAACAGAAAACGTTCAAGATAGTCTAGGAAGTATGCTGAGAGCAATAACTGACTCAGAGCAAACTGCATTACAGGTCAGAATTAGGGGGCAAATACCAGAGAGATTCCCTGAAGTGGTATATCAATGCGAGCAATTTTTTTTTAAAAAAGACATACTGGCTTGAGAAGAATGTCAAGCCAATTTTCTGGCTTGAGAGGAAGAAAACAGTTAAAGATGTCTTGTTAAAGCAAGCCATTTTAGACATCACAGCATTAAAAGCAAATTTCCTCTACATACAGATTCCTTTGAGTTTAAATTTCTCTTGGAAAATGTAAAGGATCTTTTGGCCATTTCCTACTTAAATTCTTCTCAGTAGCTTGTTTAAATCCAGAGACTGACTTGAATGGAACTTGATTGGGGTAGAAGACAGATGATTTCTGAAGCAGGGACCATTCTATACAGTTGAAGTTTAAGGAACGACACAGAGGAAGATGAGCTGCCCCAGGAAGATGTGAGTTTTCAGAAGGCAGAAACAGGAAATGGCGGGGGCAAACTTCCAGAGGGTAGGAGAAAAAAGGATTTGGAAGAGTTGGTGGGTGCATAACCCATCCAAGGTCACCCATTTTATAGAGTTGCCCATGTAGTAGATACACATAGAAAACATATACACAAAACATTGGAATGTAAAAGTGTTCTTTTCCAGTTATTTCTTTAGCTATAGCCAGAGTGATTTTTCTGTCCTAATCATCACAAACTCAGAAAATGTACCTGGAGGTCCCATAGCACACATGATCTGGATGTCCACCAGTTTAATCATGGAACAATCTTTTAGGTCATACCAGTTGCAGTGATCTAACCACTGTCTAAGTAACTCAATGGGAGGTTGAGCCCCATATACCTCCCGAGCAGGCATATTGACATCATCTACAAAGACAATCTGAGAATGAGAAAAGAAGTTCAGAAAATATTAACATCTCAACATAGAGTCCTATTGTGTAAACAATATGGAGGCAAATACTTAGTTATCTACTTGCAGGGGACATATGGGGAAGTGATGTTTCTTTTCTTTTTTTTTTTTTTTTTTTTTTTTTTTGAGACGGAGTTTCACTCTTGTTACCCAGGCTGGAGTGCAATGGCGTGATCTCGGCTCACCGCAACCTCCGCCTCCTGGGTTCAGACAATTCTCCTGCCTCAGCCTCCCGAGCAGCTGGGATCACAGGCACGCACCACCGTGCCCAGCTAATTTTTTGTATTTTTAGTAGAGACAGGGTTTCACCACGTTGACCAGGATGGTCTCGATCTGTTGACCTCGTGATCCACCCGCCTCGGCCTCCCAAAGTGCTGGGATTATAGGCTTGAGCCACCGCGCCCGGCCTGATGTTTCTTTTCTAAACAAGAATATCCTCAGCTTCCACGCTTTTAGCATTCATATTCTTCAAGAAATATGGAGACATTCTCATTGCTACTCCTTGTAGGTTAATAGCTTAGGACTCATTAATCCTCTCATACAATTTGTTTCTCAATACACCATGTATTTTTTCCTTGTACCACACACTTCAGTTTATGAAAACAGATGAGAAAGGTATGATTAGGGTGAGAAGGGTGTTCTTTGCGGAGGAACACAGGTAAATCCATTGAGAGCTGGGTTTCTGAAGGTCTACAACAGCAAGCAGCAAAGATTGCTGAGTAAAAATGTTAAACATTTAGGAAGGTAGATGATTTCTCGATGAATATTCTACCTTCAACTCAAAGGGAAACTCCTTGTTTTAAACATCAAGCTGTCTAGTGCACATACAAATATAACTATACTTCTGGGAAAACTTTTTAATCCGAATTTGTGACATAAAAAAACCTATAGAAAAAGATGTCTATCCCTAGGATATTTGGTTTCCTTGTTCTGACTGCAGCAATATGTATGAATAGGCCCAGCACTATACAAAGAGTCATTACCATTCTCTTGCCCAAAGGAGGACCAAAAACTCCCTTTCTTCTCTTGTCCAATTTTGACATGATAATATTCTGAGTTTGAGCTGCTGTAGTTTGTGCCGAGAAATTAATCAGCAGAGGTTTGTAGATTTCCTTATTTAGTTGATTTAAAAGAAAATTCTATGTAACAAAATAATAAAATGAGTCATAGTTGAAAGTATGTTTTGACATTTCAGAATAAACACTAAGCATCATTACTGACAGACCCAAATTTAACCTTAAGTGTCATAATATTGTACAAATCGATGAAATCAGTAGGAATAACAGTTACCATGCCAATGGAGTGTCTCTATCTGTCCACTCTCTTGCATGTGCCTTCTCTGGTTTTCACAGCCACTGGGGAGTACACATTCCTCCTTAACTTGGAGTCACAAACTTAGGAAACTTGCCTAGTTTGTCCGAGATGGGCAAGAATTCAGACTGCCGTTTGTCTCTCTCCATATCAATATTTTTTTCATATATCCTATTATCTTTCCACTTACATATGAAGCTATTTTTCTGTAAGTTAGAAAGCTTAAAAACAGAACTGTATTTTTAAAATGGAATTCACTAGGAAGCAGGTGGCATTACAATGGTTCTTAATCAAGATGTATGCTAGGAACAGGACATATCAGAATTCCCTGAGGAGCTCTTCAAAATAAAATTGCCCCTCCTCACTCCTTCTTCCCTTTCTCTCCCTTAAGACTTCTGTGTAGGGCACAATCCGTTGCCAATGAAGGGCCAATTTATTAGAAAAGTCTTAAGTAAATCACATATTTTCTTAATGAACACCAGTATCTATCAAATATACATATGAATAAAGGAAGGGAAATGGTGAGGTTTTTTGCCTGTTCTAAACTTTACTTGCATTAAGTGCTTGCATCATTCAACTTTATAATTAAGACACTAAATTATAACCCAAAGTATGAAGTGGTAAAACACCTCAAGCAAGTCCTCTTTTCATGTTGTGATTACACACTAAATATTACCATAACTTAAGCAAATGAAAATCTTGAAACCATATTTTAAAATATCAATCTATTCATCAAGGCAACACATATTGTAAAAAGAACTTACAATGTTCTCATTAATGACTACATTCAGCACACATGATAGGAGTACCGGCAGGCAGAACAAAATGAGAAAATAAGGAAGAAGGAGGGTGACAAGCTGGTCAGAGATTCTGGAGGAAGGCTTCTACTCCTCCCATCAGCCCAGCAGGAGCTACCTTTTAAAATTTTAAATTGTTTTTCTTTTCACAGAATGAGCACGTTCTAAAATGGAAGTTCTTTTTTTTCCTATTGTACTTTAGGTTCTGGGGTACATGAACAGATCATGCAGGATTGTTGCATAGGTACACACATGGCAATGTGGTTTGCTGCTTCCATCCCCACCCCCGCACCCTTCCACCTGCCCCACCCTCCCACCCCCTCATCACCTACATCTGGCATTTGTCCCTATGTTATCCCTCAGCGACCTCCCCACCCCCGCCCCCAGCTGACCTTCCCTTGGCCCCCCACTAACAGACCCCAGTTTGAATAGCAAAAACTGGAAATGGGAAAGTTTAGGATAAAAGTAGGAATATGTTTTTGTGACTGTTATGATTAAAATGTCTTTTATAATTTTATAATTATAATGTAAGTGACAGATTATTTTAAGAGGAATAATAGTTTGAAAACAAGTTTTTCTATGTATTTAAAGAAACAACTCCCTATTCTGAGCAACTATAAGAAAGAAAAGATGTGTCTGAGTAAAACAAATTTATACAAGTTTTAAAAAATTATTGCTTAAGACTCTAAAAAATTATTTCACTTTGCCTACATGATATACGATGTAGATACTGTATTATACTATATTTTTATTTAGCTAACAATGGCAGTAATATGGCAGAAACATGGTAGTTAATCAATAAATTTTTGTTGGATTAATGGATGAACTAAACGAAACAAGAATGAAAATAAGGGGTGGGTGTGGTGGCTCCAGTCTGTAATCTCAGCACCTTGGGGGCTCAAGTCAGGAGAATTGCTTGAGCTCAGGAGTTGGAGATCAGCCTGGGCCACATAGTCAGGTCCCACTTCTACAAAAAAAAAATTTAGCTGGGTGTGGTGGTGCATGCCTGTAGTCCCAGCTGCTTGGGAAGTTGAAGTGAGGAGATCACTCAAGCCCAGGAGGCCAAGGCTGGAACGAGCAGTGATTGTGCTACTGCATTCCAGCCCAGAGGACAAAAAGACCCTGTCTCTCAAAAAATAAAAGAATGAAAATAAGAATACAACACATACATAAGCCGCGGCATGAACAGTTTGGCAGTGGGCATTGAGACCATCTAAAAGCAGAAATAAATCTAACTATAATAAATATAAATAGTTATAAAAACAAAATTCAAATGTAATTAATATAAAAATTCTAAAAGAGTTGCTGCATAATATTAAAAATAATTTGGCACAAATAAACTCAGGTTTTAAAACATCTCTGTCTTAACCAGAAGACGGTGAAAGGTACAGGAGATAAATGGCAATACTTCACTCTTCCTAGCTAACTGGGTAGGGAAAGGAGGTCCATGGATACTGTCATTCATAGTATTGATAACTTAAAAAATAAATTTGAAAAAAAATTACAGACTTCAGAAAAATTCTTAGTGTTTTAAAATAGATTAATACTAGAAGAATTTTAAATAGTTTTCATATACCTCTAAATCGATAGGAAGAAATATTATAAACATACCATCACAACAGAAATTAAAAATTTTTAAAGCACATAAGCTAAACAGAAAATGTGAATACAAAAGTATGATTTATTCTGACAATTTATGTATCTGAGATCAATTTCCTTATTAAAAGGAAAAAGGGCTCAGACTGACAAAAATACAAAATGCAGCAACACACTGAGTCTAAATAATAAAGAAATACTGAAAGTGAAAAGAACAAGCAAAAATAGATCATGTAAATGGAAAAAAAAAGAAAGCAAAAGAAAAGTAACTAAAGAGGACAATTAATAGAGTACTGTTCTGTATATTGCTTATGTCATATATAGAAATAAAATGTGCTAATCAAACCATTATTTGAATGTTGCCCTAATTCAAGAAGTGTATAGGTGATTTAAAAATTCTAAATAGTACATTTTCACTTTTTATTAGGATGCCTTAAAAATTATATAAACAAAATTTATTTATTTATTTTTTTATTGCATTTTAGGTTTTGAGGTACATGTGAAGAACATGCAAGATAGTTGCATAGGTACACACGTGGCAGTGTGATTTGCTGCCTTCCTCCCCTTCACCCACATCTGGCATTTCTCCCCATACTATCCCTCCCCAACTCCCACACCCCGCTGTCCCTCCCCTATTCCCCCCAATAGATCCCAGTGTGTAGTGCCCCCCTCCCTCTGTCCATGTGTTCTCATTTTTCATCACCTGCCTATGAGTGAGAACATGCAGTATTTCATTTTCTGTTCTTGTGTCAGTTTGCTGAGAATGATGTTCTCCAGCTTCATCCATGTCCCTACAAACGACACAAACTCATCGTTTTTGATTGCTGTGTAATATTCCATGGTGTATATGTGCCACATTTTCCCAGTCCAGTCTATCATCGATGGGCATTTGGGTTGATTCCAGGTCTTTGCTATTGTAAACAGTGCTGCAATGAACATTTGCGTGCATGTGTCCTTATAGTAGAACGATTTATAGTCCTTTGGATATATATCCAGTAATGGGATTGCTGGGTCAAATGGAATTTCTATTTTTGGTCCTTGAGGAATCACCACACTGTCTTCCACAATGGTTGAACTAATTTACACTCCCACCAGCAGTGTGAAAGTGTTCCTATTTCTCCACATCCTCTCCAGCATCTGTTGTCTCCAGATTTTTTAATGATCACCATTCTAACTGGCATGAGATGGTATCTCAATATAGTTTTGATTTGCATTTCTCTGATGACCAGTGATGATGAGCATTTTTTCACATGTTTGCTGGACTCATGTATGTCTTCTTTTGTAAAGTGTCTGTTCATATCCTTTGCCCATTTTTGAATGGGCTTGTTTTTTTCTTGTAAATCTGTTTGAGTTCTTTGTAAATTCTGGATATCAGCCCTTTGTCAGATGGGTAAACTGCAAACATTTTTTCCCATTCTGTTGGTTGCCGATTCACTCTAGTGATGGTTTCTTTTGCCGTGCAGAAGCTGTGGAGTTTCACTAGGTCCCATTTGTCTATTTTGGCTTTTGTTGCCAATGCTTTTGGTGTTTTGTTCATGAAGTCCTTGCCTACTCCTATGTCCTGGATAGTTTTGCCTAGATTTCCTTCTAGGGTTTTTATGGTGCCAGGTCTTATGTGTAAGTCTTTAATCCATCTGGAGTTAATTTTAGTGTAAGGTGTCAGGAAGGGGTCCAGTTTCTGCTTTCTGCACATGGCTAGCCAGTTTTCCCAACACCATTTACTAAATAGGGAATCCTTTCCCCATTGCTTTTGTCAGGTTTATCAAAGATTGTATGGTTGTAGATATGTTGTGTTGCCTCCGATGCCTCTGTTCTGTTCCATTGGTCTATATCTCTGTTTTGCTACCTGTACCATGCTGTTTCGATTACTGTAGCCTTGTAGTATCATTTGAAGTCTGGTAGTGTGATCCCTCCCACTGTGTTCTTTTTGCTTATAATTGATTTGGCTATGCGGGCTCTCTTTTGGTTCCATATGAAGTTTAAGGTGGTTTTTTTCCAGTTCTGTGAAGAAGGGCATTGGTGGCTTGATGGGAATAGCATTGAGTCTGTAAATTACTTTGGGCAGTATGGCCATTTTCACGATATTGATTCTTCCTAACCATGAACATGGAATGTTTCTCCATCTGTTTGTGTCCTCTCTTATTTCGTTGAGCAGTGGTTTGTAGTTCTCCTTGAAGAGGTCCTTTATGTTCCTTGTTAGTTGTATTCCTAGGTATTTTATTCTCTTTGTAGCAATTATGAACGGCAGTTCATTCTTGATTTGGCTCTCTTTAAATCTGTTATTGGTGTATAGGAATGCTTGTCATTTTTGCACATTGATTTTGTATCCTGAGACTTTGCTGAAGTTGCTTATCAGTTTCAGGAGATTTTGGGCTGAGATTATGGGGTCTTCTAGATATACATTCATATTGTCTACAGATAGAGACAATTTGACT